CAGCCGGAGGCTTAAGATGCCCTTACGAATGCCCCGATTGCTTTACGATCCTTTGCGAATTTGCACATTATCAAATTCGCGTTTCCATCTTATGTCAAAAGTAGAGATTGCGATCGGGGTGTTTACCAGTAGAGATTGCGATCGGAGTCTCTACCAGTAGAGATTACGATCGGAGTCTCTACTGGTAGAATCTCCGGACCTACTAGCAGAGATTGCAATCGTAGTCTCTACTGGTAGAGACTCTGATTATATGGAATAACCTATGCAAGCTTATGCAAGCAAGTGAATATTTAGAAAGACAAACTTTATTTTCATATTTTCACCACCTGGTCAATTCCTCACCTACCGTTTCCCCACCCGGTCAATACCCCACCCAAATATATATCTGGTCGGTCATTCCCCCACCTTCTTGTTTTTCGGTGGTTATTTCACTCAAATGTAAGAATGAATGAGCAAGAGGAGTGAATGAACAAGAAGTAGAGTAAAATACATTTCATTCTTAAATATCCATGTCCCACCTGACAAAGTCAGTACATCTCATTGATGTAAATACAGCTAGTTAGTTATTTGCTTTATTTAATGTTGCACGCACAACTAAGGGGGAACATGAAATAGAAATTTTGAAAGGGTGGTGTTACTACCCAAAAATAACAACTGAACAAATTTGAATGAGAGGCCGAATTAAACAGGTATAAAATATGAAACAGATAAAGAGTAATAGAGATTTGGAATTTAATATAGATGTAGTGTAATAAATGGTTATTGTTAGTGTTATTGGTTGAGGACAACCAATCCATGTTTAAAAACGGTGGGCAGACAATAAGCCCACTAGGATAAAAAGCCCTCGGACAAAAAATCCTAGGCTAAATGCCCTCGCAGGACAAAAAGCCCTTGCAGTTAGTTATTTACTTTATTTAGCGTGGCACGCACAACTAAGGTATTTCGGCGACGGGGTAGTACGTTATTAAGAAATGAGGGGGAACAAAAAATAGAAATTTTGAAAGAATGGTGTTATTACTACAGAAACTTGTTAGTATGTTTAAAAACATATTTATTAAGTGAATAATGATGAACATATAAAAGGTAAAAAAATGAAGTTAAAAAGAGAAAGATGATTTGAAAAGTTAAAATAACATATATACATGTTTGTAACAATTTTTAAAATGATAAAAAGTGGAATTATTGTATTATTGTTTGTGTTACTAGATGGTTTGGTATAGTTTTGTATGAATAAGATATTTAGTGATTGTTTTAATTAATTTGGGATTTGTTAGAATGTTGAGATCAGAAGAGTAAGCATTGTTGAGGTACTGTTTTAAAGCATTGGTAAATGGGGTTCTTTGTTTATTATATTTTGAGCAGTAAAATATACTGTGGGCTATTGTTTCAGGAATTTGGCAAGTGATACATTTGCCGTTTGGATGTTGGTTGATTTTGTGTAAATAGTGATAAAAATTGCAATTTTGTTATGGCAACATCAGTTCGGCGTGTTTGGTGATAATTTTTACATTTTGTATTTAGTGTTTGTTGAATTTGGTAGAGTAGATAATGTTTTCCTTTTTTTGGCCAGTTATAATTGAATTTATTTATTATTATATTGTTAACTTTGTCAGGTCTGTTTTTGAGTAAGGTATTTTCACTTTTTTGAGTGGAGTCCAAGTTTGGCAGCTTGGTGTCATGATGTAAATACAGTGTTACAAACCATTTTTATTTTATTTTGATATTGTTTACAGTGAGATGTTAAATGTTTGTTATCTTTAATCCCCTCACTCCAACATATCAAAGTCTAAGTTAAACGCAGGATGTTTATTCACATGTAATTCAAAACTAATAATCAGTAATTGTTATAAAAACACTGCTTTCCACAGAGGTGGGGACATGACCAGGCGGGGAATTTCTATATATATTAAAAAACGCATGGTATCATATTGGTTTAAAGTTGTTACAAATACAAACAGAAATCTACGACACCAGTATACATACGTTTTCTTACAATATCTTCTTATCGCCATGGATTGTATTTGTCAAATCTGTTCTAGATGATTGTGGTCTGTCGTATGTATGGTTTAACCCACATATTGTCGAACACCAATGGGTAATTTCCTCAGTTTGTAAACGATTGTCTGATCAGTTCATACAGAAATGGCAGGCTTATCGGTCAACTTCGCATAAAGGTTACCTATATTGCTGTAGAGTTAGTCACTCACGACGTGCGAAAAGATGGGATGAGATCAAGACTAACTACTCATGGATCAGGCATGACTTGGTAAAACTTTTCCTCGGCACTTGCCATGAGTGTTCTACACGCAGCCCCCCTCTAGAAACCTGCATCGGGGAAGCCCATCATCTCCCTTGGATACCTGACCCGTGTCCAGACTGACTTAATCGACATGACCAGCAGACCAGATAGTGACTTCAAGTGGATCCTCCATATGTGTGACTACTTCAACAAGTTCAGCTTGACACACCCTCTGACGTCCAAGCGGTCTGCTGAAGTTGCAGAGAAGCTTGTCCAGACCTTCTACTTGTCCGGCTGTCCTCGGATTCTGCAGTCAGATAATGGGCGGAAATTTGAATCTGCTGTCATCAATGACCTCTGGAAGGACTGGTAAGTGTCAATGATTTTATATGTGGGATAGCAGTATTGGAAAATGCAATCTTATTGATATTCCATGTTTTTTATTTTTCCAGGTATGATTATCCTTCATGGGCGACCTCGTCATCCACAATCACAGGGCTGCATGGAGAGGGGGAATGGAGATCTGCAGCTTAAACTCGGCAAGTGGATGGAGGAAAACCCGGACGGAGGCTGCGTCCAGGATCTTCGTCATGTCACATATGCCATCAGCACTTCTACTAGCTCAACAACTTGGAAGTCATCGTATGAAGTCGTCTTCGGCCAACCTCCCCGAACTGACTGTGCTGTACTGGAAATACTGGATGAGCGGGGCATTCAAGATGAGGACAGAACAGAACAGATCTTTTCATCCACAAGTTCAAGATTCCATCAACCCACTGACAAACCAGACTGCAAGTGATTCTGCAGACATCAACCAGACCACATCCCAGCCAAGTGATTCTGGCGTACCGGCTTCTGGATGGTGCAAAAACAGTCGGAATAAACTGGAACCAGAGTGTTTGGAAGGACCACAGTACATGGTGAAACAGATGATTCCCAATATCAGGGAGTGTTCCAGATAACAACTGTGGAGGAACCGGACTTCATTCCAGCTGGAACACACTCCGGCACAGCGATGACTCACATAACATCACTGCAACAGGCTAATTTGCATATCACGTGACCGGACTTTTCTCTTGTTTGTAAACAAACGCGCATATTCATAATAAGAAGAGACTGGACTCACGAGAGCTTTTCGGCGCTCTCTTCATAACGTTTTACATTGTTACATATATATTCTTCCACAACTGCGACAGTAAGGTCTATGGCAGTACATATTTAGATATCATCATCAAACTGGCTGCATCGTTGCTCTCCATCAGCTTCGATGACAGCACGTGGAGCCGTACAACCTATGTAAACAAAGGATCGCTACGCAAATCGAAATAGTGTTACACGTTTTTTGATATTTTCTCAGTGAAATTAAACCATTCTATTAAGATGATTAGTTAGATGTGTAGACTCTTTAATGTGTAAATCTTTACACTATATTGAATGGACATTGCAAGATGTGACGAATCGTTACATTTTTCTGGCCTGTGGCAGAGGTACTATGCTGGCTTGCCACACGGAACTCTGGGTAGGAGAGTCCAGCTTGAGGTAACCCAGTTGATGAACCACTTTCTGTTGGCCAGTTCATCGTTTGGGATATCACTCAAGCAGTTCCACTAGAACTTGACACACCACACAGCAAGGTACGGAAAATTTCAACAGACAGCTATCTGAAGGCAGCCAAGCAGCAGCAAGATAATTATGATGCCAAGTTGAAAAGTACTTCTTTCAATGAAGGGGACACTGTTGGAATACGCATTCACGAAGTGGATCGCACAAATACCGACCCTCGACTTCTGCCATGCAAGGTCCTACAGGGAAAGATGCAACATACAAGTTATATACAGCACATGGTCGTCTGGGAAACACCATTGATCCAGAGGAGCTGGTTGACATGCATAATGGGTTTTTTTCATCACTGCAGCATAAGGATATCAACAGTCTTGACAAAATCACCCTCACCCAGGCTTCAAGAATGAACAACGGCTGGACAGCAAGTAGGACACAAGGCTCAAGTGTATGTTCTTGCAAGGGGAGCTGTGTAACTACCAGATGTAGGTGTAAAAAACAAGGAATGAAATGTTCAACAAAGTGCCACCCATCAACAACTAACGATGAGTCAAAATAAAGTTTTGATTACGCAATTGATCTTTCTTGTAATCTGTTTTGTAATATATGTAAATATTGTAATATGATCTCTCAAGTCACATTTGTATTTTTAGTCCTTAATATATCTGTTGAATTGGAAACACTTTAGTGTTATATCTGAATAAAATGCATAGTGCTGTTCAGCAAAAGTGTCTTTGTTGTTTGCCCACAGATCACTCTGAGTTTCTACCGGTTGAATTGGAAATTGTACTGGCAGAATCTCCGACGGCTGCAATCTCTACTAGTAGGATCGGAGATTCTACCAGTAGAGACTCCGATCGCAATGACGACGATTCTACCAGATCGCAATATCTACCCTGACACATATGCATGCTGAATCATTCCTCACGGGTTTATGTTTCATTAATTACATTTATTATTTTGTTTTATCTCAAAATTCGATGAAAAATAAATCAAATCCCAATAATGATCACTTTATTCGAAGAAAATGAAAGAAAAAGTTGAATGAAATCTTCTAGATTTGATAATATCAGAAACATTCAGACCGGCTGGAGTGGGTCGCTTTGCCGCCAAAAGGTCTACGACATGTTGTTATCATATGACATCATAATCGTAAAATGACGTCATCAGTTCCTGTGTGCTTTTATCAACATTGATAAAATGGCCGATGTACGTTGACTTCCCAAGGGCCGAGGTTTGTGCATGAAGCGTTTTTCCTTTATAATCGGTCCAAGTAAGAAACTGCCCCGATCAATGTTCTTGGTTATCTTACATCTGTTGGTTATGCTTGGTAATAGTCTCCGATAACACTGTGTATTATAAATGGCAATGTTATGTACGGGGTAACGAATACGCTCATGGCCAACCTCAAAAAGCACAATCTTATGAATCTAAATATATTCTTTCAGGGTACATTCCGAGAGCGACATATTTGCGAATGAACAGGAGTCTCAAATTATTGCGTATTCGTAAACTGTAGATTTCTGTATCGCCGAGAGGTTGAGTGGATCATTCTATAAATGCATATTTTTGTAAATATTACCGCGACCTTCGGTATTCTGAACGTTTCTGAACCCCCGTGAATGTATTCTCATTTCATAGATCTTGTATTGCAAGAAACGGTAAGATTACAGAATACCGGATACCTTCCGCCATCTTTGAAAGCACGCGAGTTTACTTTTGGTTAGGGTTAGGGTTAGGGTAAGGTTTAGGTTTAGGGTTAGGGTTAGGGTTAGGGTTAGGGTTAGGGTAAGGGTTAGGGTAAGGGTTAGGGTTAGGGTGACGTGACACTAAACAATATGGCTCGTAGGTATCCGGTATTCTGTAAGTGTACCCAAGAAACAAAAATATCAGTAAATCTTATCATAAAAATATAATAAGGCATCACACTTACTGTAATAGACTTTTCAGGTCCCTATTTGGTTCATGTGACCTGTTTACCGGGAACAGACCCGTGAAGACCCGAGTTAGAATTGGTCTTCAGCAACCCATGCTTGTCGTAAGAGGTGATTAACGGGATCGCCTGACTTGGTTGACACATGTCATCGTATCCAAATTGCGTAGATCGATGCTCATGATGTCAATCACTGGATTGTCTGGTCCAGACTCGATTATTTACAGACCGCCGCTGTATAACGGGAACATTGCTGAGTGCGGCGTAAAACAACAAACCAAACCAAACCCTGGAATTTCTGTTTGATTTCGTGACATACATTCGTTTGTTTTATTACCACACTCAGCAAGAATCCAACTGTATGATGTCACCCAGTGATTGGCCCCGCAGTGATATTGCTGGAATATTGCTAAAAGCGGTGTAAAACACAATTGTTGATACCATGAAAGCTGATCCATGTAAATAGAAAGTGATGACATGAGCATAGAAAGATGCGCCTTCTCCTACAGACTAGGGAATCCGAAGAATAGTTGTTATTCAAATGTGGCATAACTAAGTACATGTTTATGATGGCTGTTGATCTCAGATGAAAACTGAAATTCAAGGCCTTTCCAAACCAAGTGGCTGCTCCCTCTAGTATCCTTTTCTATCAACACGTTATTTCTTCCTCTCCAATATTCCCGAAAGCAAGTGAAATGTGTCGATGTAATTTCCCTATCTTTCCACTGCCAATATTTGACCTTATTATTGTTTCAGGTCAATTTCAAGGGACCTGTTGATAATTAATTATCCTGATGGGGTGTGTGGGGGGTGGGTGTGTGTGATGATTTTTATGGAGAAGCATGTACAGTGTGAATGGGGACACACACACACAAATAATAAGAAAAAACATTTATGCATTTAGTAAGTGAACCATTATGAATGGTCCCTTATAAGGCTGTAACGAATCACTGGCATATTTGTTGAATCGAACCGAAGCCCTTCATGAATTCAATTCGTTATTCGTGGTCACCAGAACCGAATATTAACGAATATTTACGATTTTTTTAAGGGAGCATGTTTTACTTGAACCCTTGTGTACTTTTGGAAAGTGAGATATGCAAGGATTGAATATGTACTAGCAATGCAGTAGCGCAAGTCATGTTAGTTGGCCAAGGCTGCACATGGTACTGTCCACTATAACTATTACATACCAAATTTGAGTGTCATGAGATCACTGGTTATTGCTGTGACAAATAAAAACTGTCAACATGGGCGTTCCATATTGTAAATCAATCACTTAACAACAATATTGTATTCGTGAATAATTATTAGTATTCGTTACCCAATATTCATGATACGCATCATATTCACCACATGGTGTATTCGTTGCAGCCCTACCTTACAGTAAGGCTATATAAGCTTGGTCTAACTGTGCCCAGTCATCGTGTGTAAAATGTGTTGGCCTCCTAATCTTGCTTGTTTACTGACAGTGATGCTTTATGTTTCAGATGAAGAAGCTGAAATATTAGCCAGCAAGATGAAGGCCATTGGATTGGGTGTTTTCCTCATCTCTTTGGCTGTCACAAGCTCAGCGATCCCCTTGACTTTGATAAAGGTAACACTGAGGACTATGTTCAGGAAGCATTGCCATTGTGTTTGAACAGTTTCAATACTCCAAGTTATGGAGCTGTAGGAACAGTTTAGTGTATACCTCCGGCACAGCAACTCGGTCTTTGGCGATTTGATAAAGACCAATCAAATGCATCCCCACGGAAAGCGCATGTACATGCCTCCTACACACATCAGAGATATGGACAAGAGCTTTTGATATTTGTGAGACCTTTAAAATGCGATATATTCATTGACGGGTGCGTAATTGTCCGGTTTTCGATCATGTCACCGCATTTCTGTGATGAACCGTTACATATAATATAGTAAGGGTGTGGATACTACACCGGGGCCTAGTTTATAAATTTTCTGACCTGCAGTGGGGGCCTATGGCGTGTAACTGTCTACAGCGCCGGAAATAGCAATCAGCTGTGCAGCGCACACGTTCCCCTACCGGTGATTTAGTTAAAACGTACCCGATAATATTCTGAGATGAATTCTGATGCAGTGATCTTAAAAAGACAGTAGCTGAAACTATTGTTTGATAAAGAGAAATATATTGTAGTATTGTGTCATTTTCATTGCAGGTTGTGCTCTATAAATGTAAAATATTTATAATCACAACTAAGGTTATGCGACAGCTTTTTTGTGCATTGCCGGATAGTTTTTTTGCACAGAAAAATTTAACCCGTCACCGATGAGGTTTCGCACAATCTCGCTATTTCCATGCGAAAGCAGTCGGTTGACATGTGATCGTCCAGCTACACTTATTATGACTTTTGGCGAAACAAAATATGTATGCGTATCCATTTACTGTCCATTACGCCTGGAAAGTTTTGCAATACTAGCAAAACTTTCCTGCCCGCAAAACTTTGTCGATTTACAGTATACATGAAAACTGTTAACATTACATCAATCTAAAATACAACATCTTGCTGTCTAGTTGTCATATACTGTCTAGTCGTTTTTGGTTTGGTTTGTTGTTTTACGCCGCACTCAGCAATATTCCAGCTATATGGCGGCAGTCTAGTTGATGCAGGCATAATTTTAAGGGCATTTTATGTTAGAGGTGGTCTTGTAGCATGTAATACAGGTCTTTGCTGTGACCCTGGTTTTTCTCAGGATCGTGTCATCCCGCAGTTATGTCTGTCGTCTGCTGACTGTGAAGTCGTCAATCAAGTGTGCCTGAAGCCGCAGGGCCAGAACTACGGACATTGTATTGTGAAGGTATATAGATTTATAAAGATCATATATTTGTAAAGTTCGTAGTGCTGAATATTCTAAAGATAGGCCAAGTTAGCTGCTAGCTGTCTTCCTTGAAAGATGAATTTGAATTCGGCAAAATTGATATTATTTTACTATTCAAAAAGTACCCGTGAAGATCCGGCATAGAATTGGTTTTCAGCAACCCTTGCTTTTCGTAAGTGGCGACTAACGGGATTGGGTCGTCAGGCTCGCTGACTTGGTTGACACATGTCATCGATTCCCAATTGCGTAAATCGATGCTCATGTTGTTGATCACTGGATTGTCTGGTCCAGACTCAATTATTTACAGACCTCCGCCATATAGCTGGAATATTGCTGAGTGCGGCCTACACAACAAACCAGCCAAAATTAACTATCTAAAATAGAAAATGTACTTTGTAATGGAAGTTGAAATCTTTGATAAGCTTGATTGAAGTGGCTTGGGTATTTGATAGGGATGCCGCCATCGAAAGCTTTCGTATATATTTTAACGACTAAGAACGAATCCCATATATCAATTTCATAATATATTAAACATGCACTAGTTAAAAGAAATGAACTGTTTAAAAAACTATGTGTAACAGTATATTATGTACATACTCTCTTGTATATGGGCTGGAGGCATTTTTGTACAATAAACCTTTTGACTTGACTAGACTTGACTTGAGACTGTAACTTTGAATTACCTTCTAAACAGTCTCTTGCTCTGTGGTGACCGTAGGGGTAGCCTAGTGGTTAAAGCTCACGCTCCTCACGCCGAATACCCCTGTTCGATTCCCACGTGGGTACAGCGTGTCAAGCCCATTTTTAGTCACACACGCCTTGATATTGCTGGAAATGTACTGATGGTGTCGTAAAATCCTACTCACTCTTGTGTTGTGTTTCATAACAGGGGGCGAAAACTGCGACAAACCAGGCAATGACCACCCAAAAGCCAACACCGGGTGTTCCAGTACAATCCACGAAGGCTGAACGCCCGAAGAGGGAAGTCATCAATAAGTGTATGTATGCATTCTCATTGCATTGATTTATACCGTGAAGATCTGGACTAGAATCTTCAGCAACCCATGCTTGTGGTAAAGCCGCCTTCACGCTGCAAACTAAGTTTGACAACACATGTTGCAGTGTGTAAAATAAGGCCCGTCCGACCGCCAGAGACGGGTTAGATTTCAAACCGACGGTCTAGTTTTACAGCTAGCCAGCCCGATGGTCTGGTAAAAATTAAGATGTTATTTACACCAGAGTCTTATCTTGGTGTCTGGTCTGGTTAAATCCATTTTGGACTGGTAACATTTTGAAGTTACCAGCCCTGATGTCTGACTGGGGTTTTGGCATATTTCATACACTGCGTGTTGTCAAACTCGTGTCTGAGAGTGTGAACATTCCACCAACTCGCCACCAAACCCATGGTGTGAAGTGCTGTCAAACTCGTGTTGTTCAGAAACAACCAGTTGCAGTCAACAAAACTGTTATGTTACCGCACCGATAGAGCCATGGTGCTCAAATGACACGAAAGTTTGGCAACATGTGTTTAACGTATGAAAACGCGAGTTTGACAACTTTTAAAATTTCAACAATTAAGATGTGTTGTCAAACTTAAGTTTGCCGTGTGAAGGCCGCTTAACGGGACCATGTATTCAGGCTCACTGACATAATAATGATAATAATAATGTCACTTATGAAGCGCAAATGTCCACACACTTATGAATGCTCAATGCGCTGAATAGAATTGAGGAAAAGAGTCAGTCATAGGCACTTTGAAACAGGTGAGTTTTAACTTTTGACTTGAAGGTTGAGAGAGATTCACATAATTTGATTTCTAAAGGTTAAGAGTTCCAAAGAGTTGGTGCAACATAGGAGAAAGCCCTTTTCCCATACGAAACTAGGTGGAATTTGGGAACTTGTAGTAGGTGCTGATTCTGGGACCGGAGTGATCTTGATGGAATGTATTCTGTGATGAGTTCGGTGAGATATTCTGGAGCTTGATTGTGGAGACAGCTGAAAGTGATGCAGAGAAGTTTGAAGTTGATTCTCTGTTGAATAGGCAACCAATGTAAGGATCTGAGAACAGGAGAGATGTGATCAGATTTAGTCTTCAGAGAAATAATTCTTGCAGCTGTATTCTGTACTTTCTGTAGTCTTGAGATATTGTGTTTGCTGAGGCCGATCAACAGTCCATTGCAGTAGTCTAGTCTGGATAGCACTAGACATCTGACTAGGATGTGGGCACATTCTCAGGATGGTTGACACTTCATGGTCTCCCAATTGCTTCCGCTCGTTTGATACCAATACATTAACTCGTTTAATAAAAATGGTATTTCACGGTCCGAAGGTCGTTTAGTACCCTCTATATATATCACTGAACCTACTGAAAATGTCTAGTTTTGACTAGAACTAAAAAAGTAAGGGATATTCCATTTTGGAATGATATTTGGGAACCACGATGTATGGTTGTGTATGGATTTAGAAAATGATTTCATGTTGTGAATTTTGTGTAAGCGTTTTTCATGATGTGTACGTGAACATGGTCTGGGTTGAAATTCTTGTTTGTCACCTTTTATATGAACCCCTGTAAGACTGCTCTGTGGTGCTAGACTGTCTCTGAGCCGCATTATTTTCCCTTCGTCTCTTTCTGTAACGCTTAAGCCTTAAATGAAGCAAGTCGAGATTTCGTCAGGTTCTGATTCTCCTGTTTCAATGAGCTCCTTTTTAAAGGAATTGTTTGTCTCTATCAAGAGTTTGTATATTAAGAGAAGTCTCTGAAGTTAGTCTACTGTGATACATTATGAATATGTGTGTGGCGTGTGGTCTTGTACGGCGTGTGGTCTTGTGCGGCGTGTGGTCTTGTGCGGTGTGTGGTCCTATGCATAGAGCCAAGGTCTCAAATCAGGTTGAGCAACGTTGGTCACAGACAGTCCATGGATGCGTGTCGTGTTCGACAGCTTGATTCCTGAGAGTTTCTAGGACTTCAATCCTGTCCCACAACAAAGTACACGTGACACATGTGGTCTCAACTTAGGCAAGTGTGTTTGTTTATAATTGCCTGTTCACCCAGCAGTGAATGGGTACCCGGTCGGATAAGTCATATGAGCACAGGCAGCTTGGGTTGTCCGGGGGAATAATGTCTCAGCTTTCAGCATGCACATGCTTTCAGTGGATACATACACTTTATAACTTATAATAATTATTATTTTATCATATCAAATATTATCCGGCAGCTGCCCCGGCTAGTGGTTTGGAGACTGATGTGGATGTTGTCTGGATGTATGGAAAGACTTGTGTGTCTTCTACCGACTGTGATGCCGTCAACCAGGTGTGCTCCATCGCCAGTCATCAGGCCTATGGACATTGTACTGCCAAGGTAAGACCTTGATGAATTTACTAGGGATGGTACGTTTCACTCGCTTTCATGAATTGGATTCGTTATTTGTGATCACTCGAGAACATTCGTGAATATTTTGTAAATGGGTGTTTTACTTGAATTTGGGAGTTATTTATCAAACCAAGATATACCCAAGTAAGGGAGGATAATAGTCAATGCTTGACAGTAATGCCAAAATGGTGTTTAAGAATTTCTGGAAATATATGGGGGTAGAGCTGCATCTGGGACGTGTGTTTATGTACAGACTGACCTCATATAGTGGAGGTGAGGTAACCTAGTGGTTAGAGCGTTAGCTCTTCTCACCGAAGACCCGGGTTTGATTCCAGACAATGTGTGAAGACCATTTCTTGTGTCCCCCGTGTGATATTGCTAAAAGCAGGGTAAAAAACTAAAAATCACTCACTTACTCATATATATATAGCTGAAACGAATGACTAGCGTGTAACAAGATTTGAAATAGATGTGCTTCGTCACTTGAAACGTGGGTATTAGGATGCGCTCTGTGGAACAAAACAAAATTTCATTTGCCGGTACTTTTCGCAGTTAAATTTGGCATTCTTGGAATGCAATACAATGTTCATCTGTGAAACAGTTTACAAAATCTTTTAAAAACATTAGAAGGGGAACTTCAGTGTGTAATGAACGTGATTGAAATAGTCTCAATCACAATCCCAGATGGTAATTTTGAATTATCTATTCCGAATGATTTTGATAGCAGGAACAGGAAAGCCACAACTACACCGCACCTAGTCGTGCCCCGGATGTCGCAGAACAATTGGAGAAGTTAGGAAGAAAGATCGATGGGCTGACACCAACAGGACAAAATAAGACCAAACAGTTGCAAAAGCGCTTGCAGCGGGACAGTGACTGGATTGAAAAAATCAGGTAGTTTGTTCTATCAATTGCTTGGTTTGTTTGTTTTGTAAATATAAATGCTTGGTAACTTTACCTCTCTGTCTGATATTAACCAGGGTTAGAATTGGTCTTCAGCAACCAAGCTTGTCGTAAGAGGCGACTAACGGGATCGGGTGGTCAGGCTCGCTGACTTGGTTGATGCATGTCATCGGTTCCCAATTGTGTAGATCGTTACTCTTGCTAATGATCACTGGATTGTCCGGTCCAGACTCGATTATTTACAGACCGCCGCCATATAGCTTGAATATTGCTGAGTGCAGCTGTTTAGGGAATAATAGTTTAGGGCGACACTTTACTTTGTTACACTGCACCACAACAGGGAGGAGACTTTATTTCTTATATACGTTGCTAATGCTGGGGACGGTGGGGTAGCCTTGTGGTTAAAGCGTTCGCTTGTCAGCTGAAGATCCGGGTTCGATTCCCCACATGGGTACAATGTGTGAAACCCATTTCTGGTATCACCCGTCATGATATTGCTGGAATATTGCTAAAGCGGTGTAAAACTAAACTCACTCAAACCCTTTACCAATGCTATGTCACGATACTTTTCAGGCCACAGCTCCAGTCCAGGATACTGTCTACCGGGGATTCAACCAAAAAGTATCGCAAGCGATCCCTAAATCTGGATTTAGATCTAGACACTGCTTTGGAAAAAACTTTGTCCGACTTGGAGGTCAATAGGATAACCAACAATGTGAAAGTGAGGGCACCCATGTCGGGTAGAACCAAGGCTAAAGCATCATTAAAGAAAGCGTCAGAAAAGAAGGATAATACTGGCGTCAATGTGAAGGGGGATGTAGAGATCCATGTAACTCACCACGTCATTCACACCACAGCTGATAACAGAACACTTGGAAACTCGTCCAATACGTCCAGGGTTGTGAAAGCCAATCATTTACATGGGATTGAAACCAACTGGAGAAGGATCATTAATGGTAAACATGATTTACTGAATGCATCACTTCCTCGCCAGCAGCTTGGCTTACATCAGATGGGGACTCTGTTGGCTAGTGTGGCCAAGGCTATAAAACATGACATCAACAGAGATCCCTTCAAACACGGCGGTGACAAATACTATTCTGGAGATTTTAGTGACATTCAAAAGAAGAATCGTCGTGGTCATGATCATGCTTTTAAATATGATGACACGGATGATCTTCGTCATAGATCTGATGATGATAGGCATGAGAATGAAAGATGAGGAGGATGAGGACGAAAATGATAGTAAAAAGGATGAAGAAGGAAGGGATAAGAGGAAGGATGATAATGAAGATGAGGATGAAGAAGGTGATGAGGATGAAGAAGGTAATGAAGATCATGATACCGACGAAGAGGAGGAAGATGAGAATTCGGATGAGGATGAAGAGGATGAGTCAGAGAATGTCAAACATAAGAGGAAGCGCTCTTACGCCAATAACGCCAAAGCATTACACAAAAATATGAAGGGTTCTCGTAAACAAAAGCGAAGTTTTGGTATTGTTCAGGAAGCTGTCGAAGCAATATTTTCTGACGATCGTCATCGGGAATCAGAAAAGTCGAGCACAGAGTCCGATGAGAAGTCAGACAGAGACAAAAGAAATATCGGATCATTGGACGAGTTATCTCCCGTGTCTCACTATGAGACAGCTATTGAGCAAGATGCACACCCAGAACTCCCATCAAAAATCCCTGAAATACAAGCGGACGAGTTATCTCCCACACATCTGCCCTCGCATCAAGAGGATTCTCAACGCATCTCAGGTAATTAAACATGCAACATACTTATTTTAAGTAACTGTAGCAGGGCGTGGAGTCATCCCACAGATGACATCCTTACCTTGTCAGCTTGCTGACGGGGTTAACCTCTTTGGTCATGTGGACAAGGCGTCCGACTTCGGATCAGGAGGTCCGTGGTTCGAATCCCAGCACGGGACTCGGAAATTTAATGGCCGCTACATTGGCGCCCAACGTGGGGCTGAGCACGTTCATATCAAATTTGAGCAAAATAAGTCTCAGTACCCAACTATGCGGCTCGGGACGTGCCTTCTGTTGACGGGGGAGTATGTAGCAGGGCGTGGAGTCATCCCACAGATGACATCCTTACCTTGTCAGCTTGCTGACGGGGTTAACCTCTTTGGTCATGTGGACAAGGCGTCCGGAACTCGGAAATTTAATGGCTGCTACATAACTCATTTGTACCTTGTAATTAAAATATGTATGTGTGCAGATGTGGTCCCGTGGCTATATGGCCGAAACAATGCCGATGCGACGTAAAATCACAACTCAACTCAAATCAAATCAGTTAAACATGTACTGTGTAACTATTATTTTTCCCAAATACACTATGAAACTCTCGTAGTCATGGCAATTGACTCACATGGCGTCTGTAGCTTTGGGAAAGGGATTGATAGTTCTCATGCTGGTGTAACAATACAGATAAGTTTTTGGGTTAAAGTTCAGAATCACAGAGTTTAGGTCTGGGGTGTTTCTGAGTGAGTGCGTGAGTGAGTTTAGTTCCACGCCGCTTTTAGCAATATTCCAGCAGTATCACGGCGGGGGACACCAGACATGGACTTCACCCATTGTGCCCATGTGGGGAATCGGTGTTGAGAAAACGTAATTGATCTCCGGTTCTTTTTTCCTCATATTCAAACGACTTACAAAGTTTGTTTATTCTCTTCAGACTGCCGAAGCTTTTTAATTGATCACGAGTTGTTCGTCTCTGTGCTGGACTTCTGTAACACTTTTTAACATCTCGCGATGACCCTGACCTTTTAGCTACATTAAGCTCAAATTTACAAAGCAGTTTCACATATTGAAGTTTACTGTAAAGAATGAACAAGATGAATTAATGCCCAAAAGAAAAATCCTCATATTTGGTGGTAATAGAAATGATACGGAAAAAATACATACATTTTATACTGTTTATTTTACTGATTGGTGACAGCTACTTACCGTCCGGTTCCGGAAACCGAATTTCCGGATTATCGAGGCAAATTATCTAGGCATAGATTGGTAACAAGCTAAAATCGTCCGGGAGACGAGACATCCGGATTATCGGAGTCCGGACTAACGGGGCTTCACTGTAGACCTTATTAACGTCCCACTACAACATGTGATGAATATAAATGTCTTGGCGTATCTTTTGTAATGAACAATCTGTAAAGAATCATCACAAATCTTTGCCGACAGACCACTAATGCAATGCATTTTGTCTTACGTGGATATTATCGTTCTATACAGTGCCAGTAAGGCCAGTTTGATGTTACAGTGAAGCCAAACCTGTGTGTGAAAACTGGGGTGGGGGAGTGGGGGTGCTGTCAATATAAAACAAATTCTTTTTTTTTAAAGTCCATGTATGCTTTATGTTTATGAGTGAGTGAGTAAGTATGGGTTTACGCTGTCATTAGCAATATTCCATCAATATCACGGCAGGGACACCAGAACTGGGCTTCACACATTGTAGCCATATGGGAAATCGAACCAGGGTCTTCGGTGTGACGAGCTTTAACCACTAGGTTATCCAACCGCCCTCGGAGCTATGTAAAACCAGGATGTGGTTGGTGTTTTTTAGTTAAAGCATAGTTATTCGTCTTTCTTCATGTAGGTGCAATTTTGGTCTCTCACTATTTAGTCTTTTTGCTGACTTTATATGTACCAGTTTTTCCTTGTTATTTTTCTGTTCACTGAAGCTTTCTTTTTCAATCGAAAACAATGGTTAAAACCAGAAAATCTGAAGCACAAGGGCTTGTTTACGTGGTGTAACGGCAAACATCCTAATTCTTGTTTAAGAGTATCTCTCTACAAAAAGGGATGTCAGATCTTCTGCTGTTTAATGTACTATATGTGATCTGGGTTCCCGATCCACAAAGCGTTCGTAATGTTACGACCTGTCGTAACTCTATAATTCACCATAAACTTGCGAATGTCGTAACCCTACGAACGTTTTGTGGATCTGGACCCTGGATAAAGTTCTTGCTAAAGAACTTATACAAAGACCTCTTGTTTACTGTTACAGCCAGCAACAAGTGGAGCGAGTGTAGTGTCACGTGCGGTCTGGGGATCCGGAAGAGGATGAAGATGTGCGCAGACATGCGCTGCACACCCGGAAAGAAGCAGATCAAACCATGCATGATGCCCATCTGCTGATGTCGATGTGTCCAGCGTTGACCATGGCGTCCTGGAAAAACCCAAACCTCTTTCTCAAACCTCCAAGTGAATTACATTTGATAGTGACGCCATTTGATCAGGAGCCTAATTCAACCTTGGACAGACTCAAAGCGAAACTGCTACAATTCTCAGACGCCCCGGTTTCTAAATCATTTTCTATGGAATATAATTACAGTAAACTATGGTTATTTGGTTATTGAAACACGCTTATAACGAACAGACGGATATGACGAACTTCTTAGGTTTCGACTCTTGCTGTACATTATATTCGAGTGTAACAAGCTACTTTTATAATGAACTGAAGATTATGGTCCCTATAGGTTCGACATAACCGTAGTTTACAGTGTGTTGTTAGGTGATTATTTCTTGGATAATTGGATTACAGAATGTTGTCTTGTTCTACATTGTCGGTAGTGAACAAACCAATTTCGACTTCACTCATGAAACACATAAATATTGCCATATTCTCACCTGCACGTCAAGCGGCACGTTCAAGGGTAGTAACTCGTGTCCGTCTACACAGCTTCAAAATTGCCCTGAACACTTCGCTGTGTATTTCCTATTGATATGAGTGAGTGAGTCTAGTTTTACGCCGCTTTTAGCAATATTCCAGCAATATTATGGCGGGGAAACCAGAAATGGGCTTCACACATTGTACTCCTGTGCGGAATCGAACTAAGATCTTCCGCGTGACGAGCGAACACTTTAACCACAAGGCTACCCCCCTATTGATAAGAGACGCGCAGGGTAGAAATTGAGGAATTTTTTTCTATTTGCTTTATACATTTCATTGTTTCAAAAAGTAATATTGATTATAACATTCCACGACTAAAATAAAAACAAAAAAATAGTGAAATTATTTTTAAAGAAAGGGGTTGGGTTGTCGTGAGAAACAGGAAATTTACTTACCGAGCTCAAACTATTGTGCGTTGAGACCCTAATGACATTGTTGTAGCCGACATCCAAGAAGCAGTGCGGTTGACAATAACGGACTTCAAATCGTCAAAGACCCACTTTTACGTATCAATAAAAACAAATAGTCCCTTGCATGTGTCCTGAAATCACGATGTCACTGCATTGTATGTACATGATGTAAATAGTTGGGGATGATTACGTCGTCATTCGTTCATCGTCATTCGATCATCCCGAAATTGTGTCCTCCATTCATCCTGTAATTTGTTCATTCATCTTGTAATTTGTTCATCCCGATTTTGTGAATCTGCGGGTACCTGTATAATAATGCTTAACATTTTAACCGGGAAAGGAATGAATGGATATCACTGAATATGTAATCAGATAACTATGAGGAAAAGCATATTCATGCCAATGAAAGGATATCACTGAAAATGTTATCGGGTAACTGTTAGGAAGAGCATGTTCATGCCAATGAAAGGATATCACTGAAAATGTTATCGGGTAACTGTTAGGAAGAGCATGTTCATGCCAATGAAAGGATATCCCAGAAAATGTTATCGGGTAACTGTTAGGAAGAGCATGTTCATGCCAATGAAAGGATATCCCAGAAAATGTTATCGGGTAACTATTAGGAAGAGCATGTTCATGCCAATGAAAGGATATCCCAGAAAATGTTATCGGGTAACTATTAGGAAGAGCATGTTCATGCCAATGAAAGGATATCCCAGAAAATGTTATCGGGTAACTATTAGGAAGAGCATGTTCATGCCAATGAAAGGATATCCCAGAAAATGTTATCGGATAACTATTAGGAAGAGCATGTTCATGCCAATGAAAGGATATCCCAGAAAATGTTATCGGGTAACTATTAGGAAGAGCATGTTCATGCCAATGAAAGGATATCCCAGAAAATGTTATCGGGTAACTATTAGGAAGAGCATGTTCATGCCAATGAAAGGATATCCCAGAAAATGTTATCGGGTAACTGTTAGGAAGAGCATGTTCATGCCAATGAAAGGATATCCCAGAAAATGTTATCGGGTAACTATTAGGAAGAGCATGTTCATGCCAATGAAAGGATATCCCAGAAAATGTTATCGGGTAACTATTAGGAAGAGCATGTTCATGTCAATGAAAGGATATCCCAGAAAATGTTATCGGGTAACTGTTAGGAAGAGCATGTTCATGTAACAATGAAAGGATATCCCAGAAAATGTTATCGGGTAACTATTAGGGAAGAGCATGTTCATGTCAATGAAAGGATATCCCAGAAAATGTTATCAGGTAACTGTTAGGAAGAGCATGTTCATGCCAATGAAAGGATATCCCAGAAAATGTTATCGGGTAACTGTTAGGAAGAGCATGTTCATGTCAATGAAAGGATATCCCAGAAAATGTTATCGGGTAACTATTAGGAAGAGCATGTTCATGCCAATGAAAGGATATCCCAGAAAATGTTATCGGGTAACTATTAGGAAGAGCATGTTCATGTCAATGAAAGGATATCCCAGAAAATGTTATCGGGTAACTATTAGGAAGAGCATGTTCATGCCAATGAAAGGATATCCCAGAAAATGTTATCAGGTAACTATTAGGAAGAGCATGTTCATGTCAATGAAAGGATATCCCAGAAAATGTTATCGGGTAACTATTAGGAAGAGCATGTTCATGCCAATGAAAGGATATCCCGGAAAATGTTATCGGGTAACTGTTAGGAAGAGCATGTTCATGCCAATGAAAGGATATCACTGACGACGTTATGGGATAACTTTAGGAAGAGCATGTTCCTGTCATGTGAAGACATGATATTTTGTACATAACTTGTGTGATAGCATTGCATTTGTAACATATATATGTATAGATTATATCGTTCATTGTTGTTATATAGTCTTTTGAGTTTTTTCATTGCAACGTGTGGATACCAGGCCAGCGAGATGAATGATATTTTATGCCTCAGCCAGCAGTATTTACAGCTATACGACAACGGACTGTTCGCCATACAGTTGAGTGTAGACAGCTCTACGAAATCAGTGGAATGATTCAGCCGAACATTGCAACCCAACCACTCTGTTTTCAACCAGTTTGTTTGGTTTAAAGCCGCATTCAGCAACATTATAGATATATGGCGGCGGTCTGTAAATAATCAAGTCTGGATCAGAGAATCAACAGCATGAGCATCGATCTACGCAATTGGGATACAATGACATGTATGAACCAAGTGAGCGAACCTGACCACGCGATCCCGTTAGTCGCCTCTTACAACACGCATGGGTTACTGAAGATCAATTCTAACCTGGATCTTCACGGGTGATAGGCTTCTTGTTAAAAGCTCTAGAAAGGTTTTGAAAGTACCTCCAGTATTATCTTTTTTACTGCCAGTAAAAATAAAGAATGATAATATTGGTATTTTTTAAACTGAAATTACTAAAGGACAAATACTTTAAGTATTTCAAATATTTTAATAGTTTTCTGACTGACACAGGGATGACTATATATCCCATGGTATTACATGTCGATGTACCAGTAAGTGAAAAACTATTGCAAGCACCGTTGAATCAAATCACCTCACCTAACCACATCTCAAATATTAGAGTTAGCCTGAACATATTCCTTCAAATTATTAGACTTCCTTTACTCGGAATATCTTCTGTTACTGTTACGTTTTGCTTGGAATAGCATTCTTACCAAACATGATACTCAAAATTAATTCAAGTATACAGACAATGAGACCAAGGGTATCTCTGTCACCCCATTTTAAAGCCCTTGGTGTTCTGGGTCACCATCACTATCTTGTTCCTAAGAAGTGGCCGTATGCATATGTCGGGCGTAAATTCTAGTCCGGGCGTAAGTAAATATGTGCGCCCGGACGTAACGTTAACCGGTATGCACATAGTAGACGTAGTTAAAGTTACGCCAGTCGTAGCGCTCTATATTTACGCCACCTACCCAGCAGGCGTAAAAGCCAGGCGTAGCCTTGTAATGTAATGCGGCACTGGATGCCGAGTTTTTATCAGGCGCACATTTTCAAAAGTTTTTAAAAGTGAACGTTGTGCGAGAATTGCGCTCGCGTGGTCCTGGATCTGCGTACGGCTATAAAATTACACAGAAATGTAGAATATTTAATTTCATATCCGTTGGTATAAATATAAGTGCGACTACCTCGGCGGTTTGAGAAATAGACACTGCTAAATGTTGTCTAAAATTTTGTTACGCGTTAAGAAACTGTCAATTTCTCCGCTTTTTGTCGTGCACCGATAAAAGCACTCTGCTACGATTTTTTTAATTTGGCATCTTTACAGAAAGTGTGAGCGAAGAAAATACAGCCTGATATCTGAACGACATAAGTGTATATGAATTGGGTTTATGTGCTAATGCATAACGTTAGACGCTCAACATTAAAAATGACTCGCAATAAGTGTCAAAAATGGATTTTCTTCTATGACGTCAACTGACGACAGAGGTCATACACGTATAAAGATATAAGGGGCATAACTGAGTTATGCTTAACACTAGGTCAATGTTACTCAGATCACTTGGAGAAAAGTTGTTGTGGATACTTACGCTATATTTTCGTTATGTTGTGTTCACGGTGAACCAACCTATTCCATTACAAAGTTCCCCAATGTGAGCGGATACGTTTTGGTAGTTTCACAATTTATAAGAAAAGATGGCAATGTACTACTTGAGAAAGCAGAATAGCGATTTGGATGGCCCTATCCGATATGTAAGTTAGTTCTTAGATTCCCATATTCTCCTGTTTGTGTAGATGTATATTGACTAATTTTGCATCATTATTAACGGAGTACTAGCCATATCTTCAAATGTACTGAAATTACTGATAATAATACAACATTTTAGTTGACCTCATGGCTTGTTATATATATGCATTTTGCGACGTCGGAAAAAGACGACATTGGTTTGCTGATTAGTATATATCTTACCTAAATTCCATTAATTGTATGAAAGGTCTCGGCTTCTATGTCTGAATTTAACACTCTTTAGACCAAACATAAAATGAATGATTTTACCAATTAAATAGTGTCCTGAATATATCAACAATTAGACGGTTTGACTGCGTATCTTATTGTGAGCAACACGCGCACCTGTTTGGCATCAATTTAACGTAAATGAAAAATAATATTTCACAACACCCAAATATTTTGCAGTTATGGCTACGTGTGCCAATTTCTTATGTAAATATTATTCAAACAATCAAACCTTTCAAAGAATAAAAACGCCTACCCTATATCCAGGTATAATATGGTATTGAACAAGGCTAAATGTATATACTGAAAATAGTTTGATGAAAAATATCTGAACGATACGCAAAGTATACATCATAATACTGAAAGTGTAATCGGAAGGATAGGGCGATTGTGTTTACACTTGTTCAACCGACCTTCACCTCAAAGAAATTGTCTAACATGTACAACAATGTTGACGTATGACATCACTACCACCGACCGATTACTTATAAAATGGCGGCCACGCTGACAAGGGTACACAGGATTTTGCGAGGACCCTTCCCTTGATTCAGGGATCGTTTGTACATAAATATGAGATGTAAGTAATCAGAATGATTCTGACTATATGTGTATTGTTATATGTTTTATCGTTTTCATTGTAAGTAAGAGAAGAAGCCAGAAATGCTGATAAAAACCTTTGTCGTTCTGCGTCAGTCATGGCGTCACGCTGCACGGACACTTCGACAATTTCTTATGAAATATCAAATGATTGCATTGCTTCTTTTTTTAATTTCCCATTTCTTGCTACGATACTCTTTCCATGCATATTCTAAAGCTATTGAGCCATTGCAAGCAATGAATAGACGGCTGCATGTCGGAAAATTTCAGAAAATGCTACGTAGTATAAAATCGGAATTTTTCTTTCTTTACAAGCGCAGCCTTTCGAGCACAGCGTTCGTTTGGACTTTTGACACTCAATATCTTTCGTTTCATTTTATCCAGACAGTTGATATTGGTGACAAAGACCATTAGTAATTTGATTCTAAAATGTATGGGGAATTCAGTGATGCATTTGTCGCAGGTAAATGTGATATACACGTGATGTAATTGGCGTCTCATTACCGTCCTCCGCGAAACTTGATTTTGTAAACACTATCCAATATGACGGAAAGCGCACTTCGGCGTTCGTGTTTACAAGTGTATTTTCAGAATTATCATTAGTGATTTCATGAAAACCTGATATCAGTGATCATTAATATGCTATTTTTGAAATTCAATACATCTGAGTAGTAATTATCCGATTTGAACATTTGAAAACATACACCAAATAACGCTGTGAATCGTGATTTCGTAATGTGTCAAATATGGCGACATTTATGGTGAAGCCCATTTTGAAAGTCCATGTTATTTCTCCATCAGGATCCATCGGTAAAGTTGGGTTTTCTCGGTTTTCTTTGGCTTTCCATGATTACGGCTGCAAGGGATGTACCGCGAAGTTGTTTCGCGCCTTTTACCGGTGGTTTAAAAAACGTTCGAAAATCTAAAAATAGCACACCGCGCCTTGACGTAAATCCGTTAAGCCGGGCGTAGTAACGCCTAGGCTTAACCGACGTTGTGCATGACGTGTAAGAGGAGGGCGCTGCTAAGCCCGACGTAGTGTGTTACGCCTGACGTTAGCTACGCCCAACATGTGCATACGGCCACTGGAGAGCAAAGGTACCACTGAACTCCCTCTGGCATTGAAAGTATACTACCATGGAGACAAACTTACTGCCAAGGTAATAACATTTCAACATCTTAAAATATGACAGGGCTCTAGTTCATAAATACCCCCCCCCCCCCCTCTCTCTCTCCCTCTCTGTGTTCAAAGTTTATGAATGAACATGTGTTAGTTTTAGAGATATGGAATGTAATTTTAATTATCAGCTTCTCCATATTGATAGATAGTTCCCTTTCAGATAAACCATAACTTGGGTGGGACAAAAAGAGGAACTACATTGCATGCTCCTGCAGTTGTGTATATTTTTCCCTTGAAAATAGAAAATATATGCTCTGAAAAGTCTTTTATCTATGGTGTTATTATTACATCACTTTTCCAGCCCATGAATTAGTAGTCCCTTGTGTCCTCTTTGAAAATATACACATAAAAGTATATTTGGGTCTCAGTATGAGATTTTAAAAATTATTCTCAGAAAATCTCAACTTTTAACTTTCGATAATCGTTCGATCACCGTGGGATATACGCTCAGCCTCCTCACGGACGCCGCACGGGCTCCGCACGATGTCCGTAAGGTCTCCGTACGATTCCTGTGCAGCCTCCAAGCAGGTTTGCCTCGGCCTGTCCCCAAGAAAATCGCACGATGCCCGTAGACAATGTGAACACAAACGTCGTTTCCCGTGCTGCAAAGAATCGTACGGTAAATCGTAGACTACTTTATCGTACGGCAGATGACTAACAGACAGAAGGCATTCGCTGAAGCCGTTTCATACAAAATCGATGAGCTCTCTCCAGTTGAAGTTCGAGAGTTTTTCAACAATGACAAAGTGTTTCGGTGCCATAAAGTGCTCTGGGGAGGACTAGTGACTTATACACATGTGAGAGGATGGAGACCAGCATTCATTAGGCTGAAGTAAGATCTCTTACGTTTTCTGCACACATCACCGACTTGATTGGCAGTGCGGAAGTTCTTGGTAATGGTTAGCCCAAGGTGAACATATTCTGTCACTTCTGACACCTCCACATCACCAAGAAGCCAGGATACGGATGACCGCGTCATCTGTGGCAGAGTCTCATTCAACACAAGGATCTTGCTTTCCTTAGCGCTGTAGCGATATTGCCCATTGCAGCTGTACACACAACCTCGATAATCTCCCGAGTATACGTTACGATCACTCTCCACTATACCCTGGATGCATCCATGGCTTGGCCCGATAATAATATTACCTCCCTTTGCTGGCTCTGCATTCTCACAGTAGCCAATCAGCTAAGCCGCCGTTACATTCCAGCTTGCCAGTGTCAACAAAGATAGCGGTCGCAGTCGCGAAGATTTATTTGTTCACAGTGCCACTCAGATTTTTGAGGAAATATTACAGACAAATTGACAGATCTGAAACTTTCAAAAAATATATAAAGGAACTCCTTCTACATCTTTCACAGTACCTCTGCATCAATTGTGTTGCCACGTTAAACGGTTAGATAATTTAAGAACCGAAAGTGAGTTGTGATTGGTTCGCTCAACTTCCCAGCGTAGGCACTTGACTGGATAAAAAGCCAGCCAAGGGAGGTAATAAAATCATCGGGCCAAGCCGTGGATGCATCCAGGGTATAGTGGAGAGTGATCGTAACGTATACCCTGGAGATTATCGAGGATGCTGTACACATGGCAAATGGACATGATTTCGTCAAGAACATGTTTAGTACATGACAGTAGAGAGATGTCATCTGCTTGTGTAGACGCACTACAGTGCAAGTGGTGGATTTTAGCTCCGTGGGGACAATAATACAGACTTAGTTCTAAGCAACTCATCGATGTAAATCTGGTGCAGTCATGGAGAGAGTACACCAAGGTGTCTTGTGCCATGTAAGCTTGGGAACCATTCACTAAGGTAACCTCTTCTTAATGATCAAACCTAGTAGGACCATGCTATGTCAACAACCGCAAATCACATATTCTACATAGTCATTATGTGAAATATATTTGTTTTACGTTTCTGTTTGGGATAATATTTGTGATACACCTCAACGGTGGCCTCATAGACATCTATGTGCAGTCAACCAGGAAAATTTAAACCAGGGTACTTGCAAATTCGCAAAACCTTGGAGCGAACGTGATAAAGTTTTGAAAGCTGACATTCTGAGGCAGCCATAGTCAAGTCTTGATAATATCAATGCTTTATGATGCAATAACTTGGAACATTTATCACACACAACACACTTCGTTTTGGCAAATGTACGTTAACAGATTTGCATGCACATTATACTTGTCCACAGCATGCAATGTGTGAAAACATTATGTTAATCTATGGTCAAAACACATACCAAGAAGTTTGAAGTTGCATGAACTTTCTATTATGTGGTGACCGGACGTTAAGCTCTATATTTGCCACTGCAACCAACTTGCATCAAGAAGCCCTGAACATGTCTGAGTATCTGAATACTTTCGTTAACAAATTTGAATGTAAACCCTCCTTCAAAATGATATGTTACCATAAAACAATGTTGGAACTAAATTTCATGGAATGTCTCTAAACTCAAATTTGAATGTAAACACCCTTCTTCAAAATGATATATTACCATAAAACAATGTTGGAACTAAATTTCATGGAATGTCTCTAAACTCAAATTTGAATGTAAACACCCTTCTTCAAAATGATATATTACCATAAAACAATGTTGGAACTAAATTCCATGGAATGTTTCGAAACTCAAATTTGAATGTAAACTCTTCTTCAAAATGATCCATTACTATAAAACAATGCTGGGACTATATTTCATGTCTCTAGATGTCTCTAAACTCAATGTAAACGTCTTTCTTATAACACTGGAAAAGCACAGAGCTAAAACCACTACTTAAATGCGGTATTATTTTAAAAAGAAAAGCATGCCCAAACAAGTCCTGCCAAGTGAAGCCTTCCAGTAAGAACCAAGCGATTCCACCCGAACCAACCTGTGTATTAACCTTGATGTTATGTCACGGGAAGTACTTGAATCCAGATCACATCATTTGCTTCCCCATCAGTGGACAACACGCGCGTGTATTCTTGACTGCAGAAAACCTCTTTGTGCATCTGTCTGGAATATAGACGCGGGCCGCGGTGTGTTCCTATAGTGGGATGGGGTTCACTCCCCTTTTGGGCCATCTATTGACGGAAGGGACCCATCGCGGCTCAAGGCTGTTCAGGTGGTGATGTGTAAAAAACGATCAATTCTAATGTCTAAAAAAAGCCCGGCTTACACATGATTGTTGCTAAAAAAAGCTGAGCAAGCACTCAATACTATCTAAATATAAGCTTTGCAACCTATCGGACTTGTACGTAAAAATTGGCTTGCTACGCACCTGGTCTGTCTGAAGGCAGAGGCTGTCAAAATGGCCAAAAGACAAAAGGGTCAAAATTGAAAAACTCAAAAGGGCCAAAGGAAAGTCGAAAGGGCCAAAGGAAAGTCAAAAGGGCCATAGATTTAAGTCAAAAGGGCCATAGATCAAATTCAAATAAGAACATACAAACTAATATATATTTGATATGTTTTATTATATTTGTGTCAATATGTAGTAATAATAGTAAAACTATATAGTGTGATCATCATACATTCAGGTGTTGATATGTACATGTCTTTTCCCTACATCTGTTACGGTTCTGGCAAGGTGCTCTGTGTGGTCCCTGCTGCCTGAGGGAAGTCAGAGCTACAAAGCTACGTTTTGGGTCATTGAGTTATGTACTCGCTTGTGTTCATCTCAATTGGGTATCCTGATTTTCCTTTGAGTAGCCAAATAAATTGTAATCACCTCGCTCAAACTCATTTGGGTATTTGCCATTTTTCATTAATTGTAAAAATATAATAAAGTTTAAATGTTGGTTAACGTGTTTGCTATTTATATTTGATCTGAAATATGAGTGAGTGAGTTTAGTTTTACGCCGCTTTTAACAACATTCCAGCAATATCACGGCGGGGGACACCAGAAATGGGCTTCACACATTGTACCCATGTGGGGAATCGAACCCAGGTCTTCGGCATGACGAGCCAACGCTTCAACCACTGGGCTACCCCACCGCCCCGATCTGTAAAATGAGGAAAGATAAGAAAGACCGCAAGTTGCCAAGTTCATGTGCTGAAATAGAACCTCTCAGTATACATCAGTTATTTTATCTGTCCATAGGTACGCAAGCTAAGATTTGACATTTTTATGTGTACGCATGTAAGATCAAATTTATTGAGTATTTACAAAAAATCAAGCTTACTTTTACGCAAGAGGCTTAATAGGAATTGAGTTTTCACATAAATATTTGAGTAATTTATGCAGATATATGACCGCCTCCGTGGTGTAGTGGTTAGGGCGTCCGCCCAGAGAGCGGAAGGTCGCGGGTTCGATCCCCGACCGCGTCATACCAAAAGACGTTAAAACATGGTACTTGGTGGTTCGGCATGGTATCTCAGTGGGCTAGCACTATAAAAACAGCTTCAGTCTGGGCTAAAGATTTTGTACAAGCAGCCGCACATACACATACACACGCATGCACGTCGTCATATGAGCGAAATATTCTCAAGCACGACGTTACACCCAATTTCACGTCACCTCACCTATGCAGATATATAACTTATCTGTACATGCATACATACTAACATTTGTATAGCGCCGATATCCAGCTCAGCTGCTCAAAGGCGCTTTGTTTTCCCTCGATCACTGGATGTCAATCTCAACGGCACGTCGTATTATCAATCTCAACTCCCTGGGGATCATGTGCCCCGGGGAAGTCCTGGATCAACAAGGACACACTATACAGGCATGGTTACCAATTTGAATTATGGTTGAACCATTCGTCTTATATAGCATTCTGAGTCATGAGACCAATCACAACTAATTAAAACGTTAATCTTGTTTAGATTACTGACTAGTGTAACTGTCACCAGTGACTCTGTTAAAACGTCTTGTAACCATTAAATAAACAGTTGTGTGGTTGACTATACTAATAAGCTTAACAATTAACCACTGAGATGTTTTAAATAAACAACACTGAGACACTAGTATGTTTAGGATTAGAACCACTGCAACAAGATGTAATGAATTTCTTCTAATCTTACTATTTTATTTCTTCTAATCTTACTATTTTCTAAAAGTTTGGCCCTTTTGACTTTAATCTATGGCCCTTTTGACTTTCTCTTGGCACTTTTGTCATTGGCCCTTTTGACCTATTCCCGAAGGAAGCCTGTTGTTCTGAAGACATTTTAAATATAAATTTGTGACTATTCTTCCCGTACTTTTGTATAAATCAGAAGTAATTAGTATCGTTGGAACTCCCCATTCAACGTTTCAGTTATTGTAGAGTTAACTCCCTTGGTCCGTAAAAATGCTGCAAACTCAATGCAGCGCGTTTTCTTTGTCGGTGTGAGGAGAAACCGTCACTTCCGCTATAAACAGCATCTAAATTTACTTTGTTTGCATGTGAATTGTACCACACTGATATAATTCACAAGCAGCGATGCTTTCGAGGTCTGTACGAGCTGAAACTCGAAGTCGAGCTAAAGAAGATATCAAGAGAGTTATCAATGCTATCGATAAAGTTAGAAAATGGTGAGTATGTTTGTACCGGTGGCTTTTGCTGGGCTTCTCAATCAAAGGTTTGGGGTTCAACAAAAGCCACAAAGTTGGACAGGACAGTTCAATGCCACTTTAATAGATTCAGACTGAATACCTTTGTATAAAATTCCATGAAAATAATAAATAATGTAATGATTTATTATTAGCCTCATTAAACCCATAGTTTTTGCTTTAGTGAGAAACAAGCGCCTTTCTTGGAGAAACTATGTCTTCAAAATTAATTCGCGCACACCTATGTCTAAGGTGTGGAACATGGTCCAGAGAATAAAAGGCAAAGGCTCCAAATCTGCTGTTCATCATCTTAAAGATGGTGACAATTTGATAACTGATAAATGCAACATTGCAAATAAACTTGGCGAAACTCTTGCCAAAAATTCATCATCGGCAAATTATGTCCCTGAGTTTCAGAGATATCAGAAACAACAGGAAAAGAAAAAACTTAATTTCGACTCAAATAACGGTGAAGATTATAATGAAGTGTTTTCATTACATGAGCTACATACCGCTCTTGAGCAAGCTCATGACACTGCAGCGGGTGATGATAATATACATTACCAGCTATTGAAACACTTACCTGAACCATGTCTGATGACACTTTTAGATATATTTGACAAAATATGGACGTCTGGGGAATTTCCTCCTTCATGGCGTAATGCCATTGTAGTTCCAATACCAAAACCTGGCAAGGATCATACTGATCCGTCAAATTATAGACCGATCTCTCTAACTAGCTGTGTCTGTAAAACCATGGAACGTATGGTGAATAACAGATTAACTTGGTATCTTGAAACCAACAACCTTATAACGAATATTCAATGTGGTTTCAGGAAAAATCGAAGTACCATTGATCATTTGGTACGATTAGAATCCTTTGTTAAAAATGCAATCGTAAATAAACAACATGCCGTATCGATATTCTTTGATCTCGAGAAAGCATACGATACCACCTGGAAGCATGGCATTTTAAAGGATTTACATGATTTTGGTTTGAGAGGCCGTTTGCCTCTTTTTATATCACGGTTTTTAAAAGACAGACAATTTCAAGTCCGAGTGGGTTCAACCCTGTCTGACCATTATAATCAGGATCAGGGTGTCCCACAAGGCAGTGTTTTGTCTGTCACTTTATTTAGCATTAAGATCAACAGTTTATCCAAGGTTTTAAATGATTCCATAGATGGATCACTTTTTGTGGATGATTTTAACATTTCTTGTCGCGGTAAGAATATGCATACTATTGAACGGCAACTGCAGTTGTGTTTAAATAAAATTCATAAATGGTGTCTTGAAAACGGCTTTAAATTTTCTAAAGCCAAAACTAATTGCATACATTTCTGCCGTAAATATAAACCACATAAAGACCCAGAATTGTTTTTAAATGGCACTCCCATCAAGGTTGTAAAAGAGGCCAAGTTCTTAGGTCTCATTTTCGACTCCCATTTAACTTTTCTTCCGCATATTAAATCTCTAAAAACTAAATGCCTGAAGGCACTCGATTTATTGAAAGTCGTGTCTAATTCAAGGTGGGGAGGGGATCAAACTACGCTCCTACACCTTTACAGATCACTTGTCCGCTCGAAGCTTGATTATGGCTCCATCGTTTATGGTGGAGCCTGCAAAAGCAACCTCAAACTACTTGATTCTGTCCACCACCAAGGCCTAAGACTTTGTCTTGGGTCTTTTAGAACTTCTCCTATTGATAGTCTTTATGTTGAGGCTGATGAGCCATCCCTTACCCAACGTCAGTATCAAACTCTCTTTACAGTATATGACAAAACTCTATTCTAACGAGTCTAATCCTGCATTTAACTGTGTTTTCAATCCTTCTTATGAGGAGTTGTACAACAAAAAGCCTTCTCTTGTTCCGCCTCTTGGTTCGAATCCCCACATAAACCATATCTTTCCCCACTGTGATGTTGCTGGAATACTAAAAGCGGCATTGAGCTGGAGCTGGAAAATATAGCTCCTTCCGTCGCCTTCTTTCTTCTCCGCCTTGGCAATTGGTTAGGCCACAAGTTGACCTAACATTAACTACCTTTAAAAATCAGAAACAAATGAATTACAGTATAAACAAGAATTTAGTCAATTAAGAAATAAATATAATACATACAAATCCTTATTTACAGATGGGTCCAAGGATGGTGGCGCAGTGGCATGTGCCACTGTCGTTGGATCCCGAACAATATCTTCTAGAATACCGGATAACAGCTCTATATTTACAGCAGAAGCAAACTCCATCTTAACAGCTCTTAAATATATTAATAAACACCGTAAATATAAACAATATATCATCTTTTCAGATTCTCTTTCGTGTCTTCAGGCTATTAAAAATCTTTCTTGCAAACATCCACTTTTATTAGAAATTATTGAATTGTACAATGAACTTGCTACTGGCCAATGCGAAATCGTCTTTTGTTGGTTACCCAGCCACGTTGGCATTTCTGGGAACACCATGGCTGATCTTGCTGCTAAGGCAGCACTCAACAAATCTGTGACACCACTTCTGATCCCATACTCTGATTATAAAGCCAGCATTAGAACATACATCCGCGATCTGATGCAAAAGAAGTGGGACACCCAAGTAGGTATCAATAAATTACATGCAATCAAACCAACTATCGGTTACACCTACTTGGGTTGTCAGTCCAGATTTGAAGAGGTCATCATACGACGATGTCGTATTGGCCACACAAGATATACTCATGAGTACCTATTGAAAGGTGAGGATCCTCCGTTTTGTATCCCTTGTGATGAAAGAATCACGGTCAAGCATGTCCTGCTTGACTGTGTTGAATATTCCATTGCAAGGGATAAGTATTTTAATGTCAGAACATTGAAGGATCTTTTTTATAATGTTAATTATCATTTAATAGTTGAATTTTTAAAAGAATTAGATTTGTTAACTGATTTGTAAATAGATAAATATTTTATTATTGGTAATTTAAATTAGTCACTGAGATTGTTAGTGGCTGTACCCTCAAAGGGGTTGATGTAGCGTAAAATTATTGTCCTCCTGAGAGGGTACGTAAGTCCCAAAACTTTCAAAGTAAAATATAAATTATCACATTTTAAACGTAGTATTTTTGTTATTTTAACTGTTGGCTAAATTTTCCTACAATCGCCAGCGGCTGAAGGGATGGTGTAAATCCAGCTAGGCTCCATGCAGGAAGCAAAAGTAATGTAAGTCCCCATGGCTCCTAGCATGGTGATCTACCTTCAGTTGGTGGCGATCTATAGCCCATTTTTATATTGTGTTGTCCCCTATAGTTAAAATGTTTTAGATTCAATTACTAGTTTTACATGTATATCTGTGATACTCTAGTTGTTTTACTGTCCTTCGTCGGCAGGTGTATTATAATATACATATATTTTATCTCAATATCAAATGTTCTCGTCACGATATGGCTGAAATATTGCCGATGTGACGTTAAATAATAACTCACTCACTCACTTTAGTGAGAAATCACTTACACCTGAATATGTATGCTTCAATTAAAGATTTATAGTAAAAAGGTTGATACAGGTTTTTGATAACAGTATATGAGGCCAACCCCTCGGGAACACCACTAGCCATTGATATTGCATAAATATAAATGGAACAAAAATGAATTAGTGAATACTCTAGGTGTGTATTTTTATATTCATGATTGAACACACAATTTCATAAATGTATTCATGATCCCCAACTATATTTGTTCAGCAAGTTCAGTATATAAGTCTTTCATGACAACGTGTACAGCATTTGTATAGGTATGAGAAATGCAATTAATATGAAAATGTGTCCACTTCGCATAATGTCAGGAAAATATATTTCTGTTTGTCATTTCAGTGTATCATGGGTATTTGTTAACAGTATGAGGAACTACTACATGTACTAACTGGTAATGCTTATACTTTTGTTACAGATGTAGTCTAACATTTTTGTCTTTTTCAGGGAGAAGAAATGGGTGACAATAGGCGATACCACCATGAGGATCTATAAATGGGTACCAGGTCGGTCATCTTGACAGTGTATTTTTTCTAAAGGAGCCAAGAGACTCCCGATTCCAGTAATGTCAGAGTCATATGTGAAATGTAGGAGCTGCCTAAACATGCTTTGCAAGAATCAACATTTCGTTTTGACAGCATTGATGGGGTCTTTCTTTTGTAACACTAGGGGCTGTAGGGTAGCCTAGGGGTTAAAGCTTTGGTTCGTCACGCCGAAAACCCACCCACCCACTCACTCACTCATAAGGGACTACCTGGATCTGTGGTTAGTCCTGTGATATAATGTTTAATGATACCAACTATAAAACCTCACCTCACATTTTGGGAGGTGGGGTAGCCTAGTGGTTGAAGCATTTGCTTGTCACACCGAAGACCCGGGTTCGGTTCCCCACATGGGTACAATGTGTGCAGCCCATTTCTGGTGTCCTCCACCGTGATATTGCTGGAATATTGCTAAAAGCTGCGTAAAACTAAACTCACTCACTTTTTTAACACTATGTTAGCCATGGTAACTGTAACGTTAATTTCTGTGCAGTGTTAGACTGTTTAAGATGGTGCCATAAATATTAATAATGCATTACATCAGTGATGATTGTTACAATATGTAAACATGATAAACATTCACTTTCATTATGGCAGAGGGTTAGCCTAGTGGTTATAGTGTTCACTCGTCACACCAGAGAACCAGGTTCAATTCCTCACATGGTTACAATGTGTGAAGCCCATTTCTGGTGTCCCTCGCCGTGACATTGCTGGAATATTGCTAAAAGTGGTGTATAACAAACTCACTCACTGACTCATTATGGCATCTGAACTGTAGACCATGAATCAATATTACACATGTTCTTTGTTTTGATGTTTTTTGTCTTGTGTAAAAGCGACATTTCATAAATTGTGTATTGTCATGAACTTGGTATTTGATCTAGAATTTTCTGTTGTTTCAGTTGCTAACCAGGGATCCCCTCAAGTAAGTGCTACCTACCTTCCACCCATGAAGATCCGGGTTAGAATTGATCTTCAGTAACCCGTGCTTGTCGTAAGAGGTGACTAACAGGATCGGGTGGTCAGGCTCACTGACTTTGTTGACATATGTCATCGTATCCCAATTGTCTAGATCGATGCTCAGACTGTTGATCACTGGATTGTCTGGTCCAGACTAGATTATTTACAGACCACCACCATATAGCTGGAATGTTGCTGAGTGTGGCGTAAAACTAATTATTACCCACGTGGTCAACGTATGGGTAGTTGCATACTTATCTCGTACGTCACACGAGTGTCGTATTGTGTTGACCTGTGTCGTAACGACTTGACCTGAGATTCTAACGTTTTGATTGGATAACCGATGACCTCTCAATTAGGTCACGTTGTGACGGAACTACTTTTTCATTCATAACAAACACGTGAATTCATTCATTCTACAACTTAAAAGCATTGTGGGAATGTGAACATAGTGAATGTTGCCGTATCGCTGTTTAATTGTGAGTCTAACTGCAACATTATATCCGTCGAAACACATTAACGCAATGTTTCCACCAGTGATTTTAGCCGAGTGAAGCAACTGCAAGCTAAGAAACGGGGTGCTACGGAGTAGTTTAATATAGGAGGCTGTATGAGGCGATGACAACTGACATGCATCGTGATGTCGGTTACCAAAGGGGCAGACGAGCAGGGCGTAGTGACGTCATTACAGTGTGACGTCATGCAAAAAGTGTACTACAGAACAAAATTCTTCCTCAACCTCTTTATGAAACCGGTTTCGGTTTGAAACCATGAAAATGACAAAAATACACTATTTTGTCAATTTAATGCAAGTAAGATGTATTTAATACTGTTGATATATAGCAGGAATATTGCTGAGTTCGACCTAATGTGATTATGAAAGTTTTGATCTTTGTCTAGTGTCCTCCTTGTGTTCAGATAAGCTTAAATACTCTGGTTAACAGATCATTTGACTACTAAAGATGAGACATCGTCATCATCATTTCCATTCTCTGGTATTCATCAGATATTGACGAGTCTCAACATGACTTGGGCCGATAAAATCAAGGGCTATTTGCCACTGTGTCTGCCAGAAATATTGACTTTTGATTTGTTAACCATGACTAACCTCCACAGTATGAATCCTTCTTTTTATTGTAATTACATATTTTGAACAAACTTTATGGAGAACTACTGCTTTATTTCGTGAGTTCAACTTTTTGATACAGATTCTTGTACCATTGTCAAGCATATTATTGTACGTCCCAACTTCTAAAATGCCACTCAAACAAATAATATAATTTTTTTTATTATTTTTTTATTTCAATGATGTGATTGGTTTGGAAAATAATATGAGATTTCCATTGCGAAGATAACATGAGTTGTTTACATGTAAACAAGGTGTGTGGATATGGTGTGCTTGTGTTGCAGTCGTCCCGGTCAGCCCAGAAGGGTTTGTACAAACAGAAAGGAGGGAAGTCTGCCGGAGATAAGGAGAACATGAAAGAATTATCTAATGGTAAAATCCTGTGTGCTTCATCCTTGTTTACCTGTCATAATATACATTGATTGTGTTATCTTCATGACAGGTAGTGTCTTACAGGGATACGAGGCAGTGGAGTGAGTGGTCTGGTGGTTAAATGTTTCCTCTTCACACTGAAAACCCGGGTTCGATTCCCCACATGGGTGCAATGTGTGAAGCCCATTTCTGGTGTCTCTTGCCGCCATCTTGTTGAAATATTGCTGAAAACAGCGTAAAACTATGCTCGCTCACTCACTCACTCACTCGACTGGATGCCTAACTGCTAAGTTTCATTCTCCTCTTTTAGAAACGAACATTTAAAAAAATATTTGAGCAGTACTCAATATTAACAGGAAATAAGTATCCATTCCGTTGACATAAAAATGATAAATTCAATATTTAATAGAAAAACTGCCCATGATATATATATTTTTTTAAATTTTAATAAAAAAATTTTTCTGTTGGTTTCATTGTGAATTGCTTTGTTCTTTTCAGATAATGCGATTTATATAACATGATTTATTTTGTACACATTGTAGGGGTGTCAGGATTCACAGAGAAGTCAACCAATTGCAGATTTACATCTCACATTGCGATAAATCAAATGCCTTATCATCTATTAAATAATATTTGAATCCTATGTTGATATGAAAAAGAATATTTTGAACATATTCAAAGATGTTCAACTCTTGTGGATAACAGCATAAGGAGTTGTTATCCATAAATAATACAGGTTTTTATTGTTTCGGCTTTCTATAGTCTTGATATGTATTTGCAATATCTAATCAGACTAATGTCATAAAATATGTCGTTCAGGTTTGGCACAAGCTGGCTGACTGACAATTTGGTCTTGTAATCTTCATTACATTGAAATGGATGACTTCATGAAAAACGGTTGCAAGTTATTAATGAATATGTTTTGTATCAAGATTCAAAACTTTTCAATGTAAGTGTTTCTTGACACCCCTAATATTATTCTTTCATGTATTCACTGTTTACGTATTTTATATGTAACACTTGTCCTTACATATATGCCATGATACAGGAACTTTCTTCAGCATTATTTTAGTATTAAACATGGAAAGGATCCATTCCTCAATAATACCCCTACCTACCCTTGTGATGCCATGATGGTTACGATGATCGTAGCTGGTACATGACTTTGTGTAATGGGGCCGTGTTTGTTGCTAATTCTGTTTGACATGTTTCGATAATATATTGAATGATATCCTAGTTTAGTCTACCCTATTCCTGTAATGGCATCATTCTGTGCTTGCCCGGACCCTGTTGTCTCTGTATGCTAATTGGTTGCTGCCATTTTATTTATTTCTCCCAGATTCCTCCTCTCAGTTTAGTAACCATGGTAACCACCTGCCTAAGGGCGGGACTCCATCGTCCAAGAGTCGTAGCTCTAGTAAGTCGGCCCCCGCTGTCAGTGGGCGGGGTCACCAGTTGGGTCCCGCGTCATCTTCGTCCTCGTCACCTGCTGATAAAACAGTTCTCGCTAAAAGTCAATCTAGTCTAGGTTTGCTTTTCTGTTCTGCCGTTTTTGTTGCATCCGTTCACACTTTTCTGCTTCTGGTTACACCAGTGCTCGGAAATAAGGACGACTGTCATGAGGTCCTTGTGAAGATGTCCTAAAATCATTGAGGTCCATAGGTTGATCTCAAGGACCTTGTATCTCCTTAGTTTCGAACACTGCACTTGTGAGGTCAATAAATCACATGGTTGCCTGACTGTGACTATACTGATGATAAGAAATAAGGGAACATTTTACAGTGGATATGTTTGGTGCAAAATGCTGTATTTACACTTGGTTAAACTAGATTTTTATAAAAATTGAATGAACATATTTAATGCAAATATTTTACACAGAAACCAACATTTACCAGCAGTATTTCTGTTCTAGTATTTCCATCCATCAGTATAGTTGTGATTTATTGTGGATTATGGAGAAGTATCTATCCAAGTTATTGTTTGAAACTTGACTGAATTATCTTTGACTGATACTGATAGATCCTTAACTGACATATCCTGGGTTGAGATATAGATCCATGACTGATTGATTGATCCTTGTCTGAGAGATCCAAGACTGACTGATTGATAGATCCTTGTCTGAGAGATCCAAGACTGATTGATTGATAGATCCTTGTCTGAGAGATCCAAGACTGACTGATTGATAGATCCTTGTCTGAGAGATCCAAGACTGATGGATAGATCCTTGACTAGTTGATAGATACTGGCCTGATAGATCCATGACTGATCCTACCCTGAAAGACCCATGACTGACTGATAGACCCTGAAAGATCCCATGACTGATCCTACCCTGAAAGACCCATGACTGACTGATAGATCTTTGCCGGATAGATCCATGACCGATTGATAGATACTTGCTGGATAGATCCAAGACTGATGGATAGATCCATGACTGGTTGATAGATCCTTGCCTGATAGATCCATGACTGGTTGATAGATCCTTGCCTGATAGATCCATGACTGGTTGATAGATCCTTGCCTGATAGATCCATGACTGGTTGATAGATCCTTGCCTGATAGATCCATGACTGGTTGATAGATCCTAGCCTGATAGATCCTCGACTGGTTGATAGATCCTTGCCTGATAGATCCATGACTGGTTGATAGATCCTGCCTGTTCCATGACTGGTTGTGTGTTGCCGATAGATCCTGTGGTTTGTTTGTGTGACTTGGATAGTCCATGTGTTGATGTCCTTGCCTTGTTTGTAGATCCATGTGTTTGATTGATCCTGTGTTTGTTTGTGTGTTGACGTCCTGTGTTTGTTTGTGTGTTGACTTCCTGTGTTTGGTTGTTGTTGGATATAGGCCCTGGCTGTTGTGTGCTGTTTCTTCGTGCAGCTTGCATGTTTGCAGAGATGACAACATCTACGATTTTATCGTAGTCGCTACGAATGTTAGCCTCAGACTATGCCAGTACGATTGCACTAGCAATTCTACGAAATTTGAAGAAAATTCATTAAAATTCGGATATATAGACAAAAAACTTTACGTCAATTAAATACATTTTCGCCAAAAAGAGACAAGAAGAAATGTTATGCTGATACATGTAACCTGGAAATCTGGTGTTGGAGGTATGTGAAGCTTACTCTTGATAGTGTCACATTATCTTTCTCAGAATCTATCACGATTTTAAGTATTTAGTTGACTACTAATTTTATAGTCAAACTACTAATTTTGATCCTTGACACTACTATTTGCAACACATTGGGGTTGGCATCTCTGTGTTTGGCCGGAGGAAACTCACTCTCATATATATCAGATCTTCTGCTCTGATACAATACCTCTCTGCATGAAGATTCAAAGGCACCTCCCTAGGAAGCAAATGTTTGGTTTAGCTGATCAAAGCATTCAGACATGCATATCTGCCTTCTTTTTTGCCAAAATGAACCAAAACTGAAGTTCCAAGTTGCAATGAATAAAACTGCCATTATGTCGTTGTGGATATTCAAAACACATTATTATTTTGGAACATCATGGCATTTATCATTTATACTCAAAAGGGCATACCACACGAGGCATAATTGTGTTCAGTGTCGATTTCCATTTGTACAATTCAAGATAGCCTAGTGGTTAAGATATTCACTCGTCTCTTCGAAGACCCAGGTTCGATTTCCCACATGAGCACAATGTGTGAAGCCTATTTGTGGTGTCCCCCTCCGCCATGATATTGCTGGAATATTGCTAAAAGCAGCGTAAAACCATACTCGCTAATAACTGAGGTGGTGCGGCTTACATGTTTTGAAAAGCTGACGTCGGATTGGTCCAAGGACCAACATATTCTTCAAATAGAGGAATATTGGCATAGCCTCATGGTTAAAAAACCCAGCTTTAATTATTCACATAGGTACAATGTGTTAAGAGTTTTGGGGCGTTTTCCTTCATAATGTTACCAAAATGTTACAAACGCTGTCGTAAAAAATACTCTCACTTACTTCAGTTAGGTTGTGCAGTCTCTTTTTGTCATGGTTAATCAAACAGAACTTCTATTGCGCTGTCCTACAATCTTAATGCAGAGAGGTAACATCAGGCTGAAAGATCTGGTTTTAATGACATTGGTGGAGACTATCAGAGTGTTGGTCTTGCAGAACGTCTCAGTGCTGGCCAGCAAATCAATCAGTTAGGCACCAAATTTTGTATGATACGTAACATATAAACAGAGATATGACAGTCAATATTCTGGGTATAAATATGATTGTAAATTCTGTTTGTTGTAATTCGGCCATTACTGTCAGTGACTTATGATCAATACAAAACGTAAATTCTGACAAGTTTTCTTTTTAAGTGGAAAAGTTAAAATAGCTATACCAAGAAGGGAAAAGAAAGGCAAACAGGAACAAATCCTTGTAACTGTGAACTATTTCTGGCCAAAATTTCATTAAAAAATCAAGGAACCATTTCTATATTGTTATTTACCATGTTCACAAGTAATAAGTTTGGCTAGAGTGAAATCAAACAAACCAATTCAATGAAAATGGATTTTTGCTGAAAGCACAATACTCAAGGGGAGGTAATCATGATTTGGTGGTATTTTGTCTTCTGGTGTATAAAAGAGAATTAAGATATTTCCACAATCACTGACACAGTGAGGAATGTACTTGTCTCTAGTACCAATCTTTGCATAAAAGCTCATAAAAATCAGATTAGTGTTAATATGTAACCATGGTAACCAAAGCAGTTACGCATCTTCATACTCAAAGGTTGCATATCAACCAATAGTTTGCCTTACACAGGCCCCAATTTCACAAACAATCTTAGCACCTCAACTATTGTAAGCCTGTGTTGACCTGTGGGATTAACAATCACCTTAGCGCTAAGATTGTTTTGTGGAAAAGGGCTCAAACCTTTTCATATGAATTCCACTAAGATATCACTGATATAATGTTTAGTCAGGCATAAAACAACATTCACTTATGCACAGAGCTGTATAACTGACTGGTCACAGACTAACACAACATTCAGTGACTCCCATATGCATGGTAACAGTACTAACAAGTGTTGTCTTGTTGAACATCCCACAGTGTGCCCCACTCCTCCCAGCATGCATCACTCTCCTTAGCTTGTGGTATACACAGTTGATGTGAGCACAGTTATCTCCCTTGCCAGGGGATTGTCTGTTAGTGGTACAGATAGAAATGGTTGTTACTAATCATATTTTTCATGGTGAGGGCTAATTTGTTCAGAAAGAGTTTCAGCATGATGTGTTGGGAATGGTTTAAAATGTTTTTTTATGATACAAAAGATTGAATCTTAATAGATATGATTATCACTATGTTTTTATTTGCAAGATAAATGTGAAATTTGAAAAAAAATTATTCTTGAGTCTCATGGTTATTGCAGTTAAAATGAAAAATGAAAATGTTTTTCATAAAAGTCAAGTTCTGTTCATCTTTTTCTATCTATTCCCTATTAGTTTCAGTCACCTAGTTTAATTGTGCATCTATTCTGCCAATATTTTTACTTGACATCATGTTATCAATGTATTTAATTTTTTTTGACCCGAAATAAATTTTATTGAAATCAGTTAACAAAAACTTCAGTACAGTCATCAGTACTACTTTTCAGTACAGTTTGTCATTGTAAGAGACGTGACAACTAGCCGAACAGAAACTTTAGGGGTATTTTCTTACGATTCCAACCTGGCAGCACTATTGTCTGTGTTCACAGGTGTTCACAGGTGTTCACACACATATATACCGCAACATGTGTAACTCTATTATCTGTGTATACACGATTGTTTGCTACACCGTGTGTGACAGTGTGTATTGTAGTGGACCACTGGCATGTCATCAAACACCAACCCTGCTATACATCAGTCCAAGAGGAAGACTCATGCTTGTTAATCATTTGCTATAATTTGCATGATAAGATATATATTCTATTTAGTTACCAAGCTTGATATATAGTAGACCATTATTTACTGATCAGATATTTTGCATGATATTCTAGAGTAAATGCCTGGAGAGCTAGTGTAGGCTGGAGAATAAATGATGTTGCAAGTTCACAGATTTCCTTTCCAACCATTTTGAATATTTATGAATTTATCCATACCAGACCAAAAACGGATATGTAGCCCACAGATGAGTGAACAAATTCAGATTGAAATTAAAATTGCCAAATTTATTTATGTATTTATTTATTTTTCTAATTTTTATTTTTTAAGCATCTTACATTCCGGTTTATTTCTTGTTCTTACATCTGATGTTATGGCTTTGTAAAGGTGAACATGTTATATTTGGGATTACACTTTCTCAGTAAAGTACAGATTCTAGTACTTTTTTTAAGCTGAGTCCTAGTACTAGAGTACTAGAATCAGTACTTTACTGATGACGTGTTATCACAAATATAGCACTTTTTAACTGGCGTATTTAAATTTGTCTTGTATATCACTGATCCCAAGACCAGTTAAGGAGAAGATGCTTAAATGCGAAGCTTGATATCATTGCCTTGAGTGCAATATTAAATTACAGTGTTAAATGCCTCTGAAATTAAGAAAAAACAGAAGTTTCAAAACATGTTTTTCCAGTTGAAACTGAAGGAGAGTTTGTTTTTAAATCTTAGGTAAATCCTAGATAAATCTAACCATTGTTTTATCCACTTTGTGAATCGTGAACTTGTGACAGTGCTTTGACTCATGTTATACCCTAGTGTTATACCCCTGTCTCTGCCTAGTGGTAATTGTCTGTAGGAACTTGGCTTTACGGTAGTCTATTTGGTTGAACATTTATAGGTACACTGATAATTTAGGACGAAGGATTTGAAGCCAGGTGAATGTTTGACAGTTGCAGGATGTTGTGTTTGTATATTTCAGCTTCGCCATGTTTGGTGAGGACAGCACCCAGCAGTCCTTCAATGACAGCGAGAACATGAACGAGGACTCGAACATGTCCTTTCCGGATCATTCTGTCCCAGACTTCTCCCAGGACAGCAATGATGTTGATCCAGATCTCAGAGTGGGGTTGTGTAAGTGTGCTCTTAGATCCAGATCTCAGGGCGGGGTTGTGTAAGTGTGCTCTTAGATCCACATCTCAGAGTGGGGTTGTGTAAGTGTGCTCTTAGATCCAGATCTCAGAGTGGGGTTGTGTAAGTGTTCTCTTTGATCCAGATCTCAGGGTGGGGTTGTGTAAGTGAGCACTTAGATCCAGATCTCAGGGCGGGGTTGTGTAAGTGTGCTCTTAGATCCACATCTCAGAGTGGGGTTGTGTAAGTGTGCTCTTAGATCCAGATCTCAGAGTGGGGTTGTGTAAGTGTTCTCTTAGATCCAGATCTCAGGGTGGGGTTGTGTAAGTGTGCTCTTAGATCCAGATCTCAGGGTGGGGTTGTGTAAGTGTGCTCTTAGATCCAGATCTCAGGGTGGGGTTGTGTAAGTGTGCTCTTAGATCCAGATCTCAGAGTGGGGTTGTGTAAGTGTGCTCTTAGATCCAGATCTCAGGGTGGGGTTGTGTAAGTGTGCTCTTAGATCCAGATCTCAGAGTGGGGTTGTGTAAGTGTGCTCTTAGATCCAGATCTCAGAGTGGGGTTGTGTAAGTGTGCTCTTAGATCCAGATCTCAGAGTGGGGTTGTGTAAGTGTGCTCTTAGATCCAGATCTCAGAGTGGGGTTGTGTAAGTGTGCTCTTAGATCCAGATCTCAGGGTGGGGTTGTGTAAGTTTGCTCTCAGATCCAGATCTCAGGGTGGGGTGGTGTAAGTGTGCTCTTAGATCCAGATCTCAGATTGGGCTTATGTAAGTGTGCTCTTAGATCCAGATCTCAGATTGGGGTTGTGTAAGTGTGCTCTTAGATTCAGATCTCAGAATGGCGTTGTGTAAGTGAGCTCTCAGATCCACATCTCAGAGTATGGTTGTGTAAGTGTTCTCTTTGATCCAGATCTCAGGGTGGGGTTGTGTAAGTGTGCTCTTAGATCCAGATCTCAGAGTGGGGTTGTGTAAGTGTGCTCTTAGATCCAGATCTCAGAGTGGGGTTGTGTAAGTGTGCTCTTAGATCCAGATCTCAGAGTGGGGTTGTGTAAGTGTGCTCTTAGATCCAGATCTCAGAGTGGGGTTGTGTAAGTGTGCTCTTAGATCCAGATCTCAGGGTGGGGTTGTGTAAGTTTGCTCTCAGATCCAGATCTCAGGGTGGGGTGGTGTAAGTGTGCTCTTAGATCCAGATCTCAGATTGGGCTTGTGTAAGTGTGCTCTTAGATCCAGATCTCAGAGTGGGGTTGTGTAAGTGTGCTCTTAGATTCAGATCTCAGAATGGCGCTGTGTAAGTGAGCTCTCAGATCCACATCTCAGAGTATGGTTGTGTAAGTGTCTTCTTAGATTCAGATCTCAGAGTGGGGTTATGTAAGTGTGGTCTTTGATCCAGATCTCAGAGTGGCGTTGTGTAAGTGTGTTCTCAGATCCAAGTTTGTTCAAGGTCCACTTCTTACTGCAGGGTGTTGTATATCTTGCTCAAGGTCCAATTATCAGATTGGGGTTTTGTAAGTACCTTTGGTCTACATCTCAGAATGTGTTTTACGGTGTGCTGTAGGTGTGTATATGGTTTGCTTCAACAAGCAATGAAAACAGGGAGCACACATAGCAGTTCTCTTCATGTGTAGGAACATAACATGAAGGACAATAATTAGAACATTTAGCCACAGACATTAAAGGTAAAATCCAATTGTTGTCCAGAACAATGCTCAGTTCAGAGCTGAGACAATTTGGACTCAACTGATAATTCTGGGCTTGAATTTGTATTCAATATATCATTTATATCTTTATGTATTTCTTTTATTCATGAGACATTGTAATGCAGAAATGGGTGACCATAGACAGAAATAGATTTAATTGTAAACAATAATCAGTTTTAAAGTATAGATTGATGTGCAGCAGTGTGTTTGCTTCTGTGGTGCCTGAAAATGAAAACATGATAATGTGTCCTTAGAATCTACAATAGTCCTGTTGTCTGGATACTGATGTTGTTTTCTTTCTTTGTATCAGCCATGAGCCTGAGTCGAGACGAGGACAAGTCCCTGAAAGGAGATGAAACTAATGGTAGGTTATAATAATAATAATAATAATGCTAATTTTTGCGCCTAGAAGCCAACACGATGTTGCTCTCCGGCGTTACATTATTACCCTGACGGAATTGTACTTTCAAAGCTGCTACTAAGCACTTCGCGCGTCCGTATAGGTCCGTACATCCGCTTCTCAGGTACCCATTTGAACAGCTGGGTGGACTGAGTGCCATGTGGACGAAGTGTCTTGCCCAGGGACACAACACAGTATGAGACCCAGGTCACAAATTTTGGTGTCTCCGCCGGAATTCGAACTTGGGCCTTTGGCGTGAGAGGCCAGCATGCTAACCACTACACCGCTGTGCTCCACAGTTTTAACATACTAGTTTTAGGAAACCAGTATGTCACACCATGTTCAGTTTACCAACTTTGCTTGGCCACAATGTATTCATTTTCAACAGGCATATTCAAGTCATGAATATTTTCTAAGTGCAAAGGGGAGCACAAATTGTTCGGAAGGTAATGATTAATGATGGAAATCATCACAACCAGAAAGTTTGAGTTAAACCAAACTCACTCACTTACTCCATCTTTATTGTATTACAGATTCAGAACCACCTGTCTTGGAGCCGGAGCTAGACCCACCTCCCAGCAAGCGCTCCCGCCCGGACACGCCCACTACCAGCTGATGACGTCCTCTTCTCCTTGTGAATAGACATTGTCGTATCATTGTCAATTGCCATGTCATTGTCTTGTCAGAAATTAGGGATCAATATACGTGAACTGGTATCACTGGTCTGTGCAGACTCTGTAATGGATGAAACAGGGTTAGTTCACTACAATGAGGGCAGCATGGTCATACTTTGCTTAACTAGTCTCAATGGCTGGTACAGTTTTATTCATTTAATCTAGTTCTTCAGTCTGTCATTGCATACTTTGGACTTTACACTGTCATTGTCTCATTGAATCAATGGAACAGTTTGTATGTACCTGTGACTGTCCGGACAAGTGTGGGGGTAGTTTTGTATGTACCTGTGACTGTCTGGACAGGTGTGGGGGTAGTTTTGTATGTACCTGTGACTGTCCGGACAAGTGTGGAGGTAGTTTTGTATGTACCTGTGACTGTCCGGACAGGTGTGGAGGTAATTTTGTATGTACCTGAGAATGTCCGGACAGGTATGTGGATAGTTTGGTATGTACCTGAGACTGTCAATCTGCTGGGTAGTTTTGTATGTACATCTTACTGACATATTGGTTTTGTTGCAGCTAATATTTTCATGCAGTAAGGCATTTTCCATGCTATACATTTTGATAGGAAAACACCCCAAGTCAGTTCATTTTTCCAAATCACTTAATGATGTCAAACATGTATGTTCTGATAAAAAGATGTGGCGTCACCTTAAGATATCAGAATGTCAACTGGTACTAACTTGTAAGAACTCTAATATTTTATGAAACTGTTTCCATTCAGATGTTAGTAAAAGCTCTATATGTATGAAGTACATTTGATGACACAGAGGTAGTTATGGCGAGACACTGCTGATATTTGTATTAAGTTTCGCCATAATGCCGTGTCATTGGTGGGCATTAGCTTTGAAACATTTATATCAACTTACGAAAGGAGAAGGTGCAAGAATGTGAGAAAATAAAAGCTTAAATTGTAAACTATGTTGTTGTATCGAGGATGATAGATGGTGAATGAAACAGCTGGTTGAAATACTGGCAGACAAGCACTCACTCAGTCATAATGGTCTAATGATGGCACATATGACAATTATACCCTTCAGGATTCAGTCCAAGTAAACTTAGGCTCAGTATTATTCATTACACTGCTATACTGAGTCTAACAAACCCTAGTAGAAGGTCGCGTCAGCTAAGCCTTGAGTGACCTATGACCGTCCAATCAAACGCGTGACGGCCGAACAAATTTAACCAATCAGACAACGGCTACTATTTAGATTTTTTCGGCGGGACTTACAAAATGGTTTTTGGATTTTCTCTTCCGTGGGCACTGACAGTGATCTCTGAACAAATGAAAATCTGCATAAAATACAGATATTGGACATGCAGTATATATGCTTAGGGGTTTCTGATGACAAGGTTCCAATTAGCTCATAATTTCCTCAAGATGACATTCTGGAATATTGACAAAAACGCTTTTTTAAGCGACTGTTTACTCTCTCGGAAGTGATCGTGCAGAAAATAGCATTCGGAATCATTCAAGTTATCGAGGTAAAAGTTCAAACGGTATGTGCGAATTTTAACTTTCGCGATTTGGTAAGCTGTGTTCTGATTGGTCAATTCAGAGGTTAGCTGACGTGACTTTCTACTAGGCTTTGTTAGACTTAGTAAGCAGTGTAATGAATAATACTGAGCCTAAGTTTACTTAGACTGTTCAGGATTGATTCTTAGTCAGAATTGGTCTCCAGCAATCACTGCAGGTCACAATGACCCAGTGTTTCTGCTGACTTAACTATTTATCAGACCCTGTGTCTGGCAACCTAACATTTTACCGGTCATGAATGAAATTTGCCGGTCATATCCTATTACCATACTGTAAGTACTCATTTTAAAGTTATTTTTAGCCTGGGTATTTCCCAAACATAACAATTTTTGTGACCATGAAATCACAACCATTCGCTAACCCATGATTTTTATATTTTAATACATGATTATTTACCGGACACAGTGTCTGGCTGGCTTTCAATTTACCGGTCCTCAATGAATTTTACCAGCGATGTTCTGGTTTATACCGGAGAACGGAAACACTGTGACCAATGGGATTGGGTGATCCGACTGTGACTTGCGTTGATTGCTGTTCAGACCGCCTCCGTGGTGTAGTGGTTAGAGCATCCGCCCGGAGAGCGGAGGGTCGTGGGTTCGATCCCCGACCGCGTCATACCAAAAGACGTTAAAATGTAGTACTTGTTGGTCCCTGCCTGGCCCTCGGCATTAATTGGTACAAAAGGACTGGTCGGCTCGGAGTCAGTATACTGTGTCTGAGTGGGGTATTCATGCTTCACTGCAGCATAGTATCTCAGTGGGCTAGCACTATAAAACCAGCTTAAGTCTAGGCTAGTACAAGCAGCCGCACATACACATACACACACATGCATGTCGTCATATGAGCGAAATATTCTCAAGCACGACGTTAAACCCAATTTCACCTCACCTCACCTCACCTGATTGCTGTTCACTGTAGCCTGATGATGAAGATCATTGTTCACACTATTGATCACTGGATTGTTTGGCCGCTGATTAGTTACAATCTGTTGTGGCATAGTCGGAATCCCCAATCCTAAATATACTTCCTTTCAAACGTTCACACTCTCTAGTGTTAATATAGCCACTTACTTCAGGCAACTCTTCTAAACTAAATTTTGCGAAACATTCCATACTGTTTAAAGGTACTGTTTACACATGAACTGATGAATTGTAAAACAAATTCGTAACGTTGAAAAGATTGTCATGAGTTCAAAAAATTTAAATATCGGTGAATGTTAGCGAATTCTTAACACAAAATTCTCACCAAAACACAGCTGTTCACATGAAGATATTTGCACATGCTTTTCAGCAATTTGATGCATGATCCTCGTGCAATTCATCTGCATAAGGTTTGCAGTTGGTTCCCCCAAGTTAGTGGAGAAATCAATCTTCGATGTAACCATACATATATACATAACATATCATGAGTGTTTTAAGTGAGTCTAAACTTTTGAAGGAAGTATATAATGTGGCATTTGACCACTTTCTAAATAGCAATGTGCATTCATATCTTCTACCATGGGAGCTGTGTCAGTTTACACTTGTCAAAGGGGTACACCAATGTGTGATCTTGTTTGCTATGATGTACCTGTGAAGGTCCGGGTTAGAATGTGCCTTCAGTAACCCTTGCTTGTCGTAAGAGGTGACTAACGGGATCGGGCGGTCAGGCTCTCTGGCTTGGTTGACATAAGTCATCTGTTCCCAATTGCGCAGATCGATGCTCATGCTGTTGATCACTGGATTGTCTGGTCCAGACACAATTATTTAGACCGCCGCCATATAGCTAGAATATTGCTGAGTGCGGCATAAAAATAAACTCGCTCAATCACTCTCTGTTTGTGTTAGCCACGATGGCTACGTGGGTTAAATCACTGACTGTTTGTGCTAGCAATTAGGTGCCTTCCTCTGAGGGTGTGGGTTGGAATCCTGGATGGGACTTCACTTACCAAAAAGTACTAGTATCTGGGCTTTATGGAGAAAGTGAAATCTCAAATATAACATATGTAGTCGTATAGTTGGAATATTGCTGAACCACTGAGTGTTGTGTTAAACGAAAGGCAATCCTTTCTGTGTCCACACTCTCACCTATTAAAGGTTTTCTAGTGTTTCTTCAGCAAAAACTGGGGCAGTTGGATAGCCTAATGGTTAAAATGTTTGCTCATCATGCCGAAGACCCGGGTTCGATTCCCCATATAGGTGCATTTCTGGTGTCCCCTGCCGTGATGCAGTTGTAATATTGGTATGAAACTAAACTCACTCAGAGAAAACAAAAAGTCAGATTTTTGTAAACAAAATGGCTTTATTGCCTATTAAGCTATGAGTGACATTACTATAACAGGTCAGAAACAATTTATAGGTATTCACAGGAGAGTTGACAGCAGAGATAAGATGGAGAAATGACACAAACACACTTGTTCCTTTACACACTATTGTCGTAATACTGATAGTTGTGTGGAATATGTTATATATATTAGAAATCCTGTTTCTGAAAGTAGAATGAACAGATATGAGTGATTTCTGTCACTTAAAACAAGTTATGGTGATATACAATTTTTCTATAATTTTTGACCGGATGCACAAGTTTAAAAATGTGCTTTCAGAATACCCAGGGACTTCCTGGTTCTGAATCAATTGGAACAAAAATAATATGGTCTAAGATGGAATAATTATTGAAAAAAAACCCCAAACATTTGTGAATTACAATGTTTGAGATATCACACCATGGATATTTAACTCAAGGGTCATCATTACGATGATCCTTGGATGAAATATTAATGATGTAACATTAACATGACATGAACATTATTATCAGGCTAACTAACATCAGAAAGAGAAGGTCAAATTTAACAAATTGGATAGAAAACTAAATTTTACAACCAATTATTAAAACTCTTCTCAATAAAAACTAAACCTTTCTTGTGATGTATAATTACGTGCTTGCTAAAAGTACTTCATAATCACAATGAAAATTTAAAGGCTAGTAAATACTGTTGTGTCAAGTAGGCAGGTGTAATACACATTTAATACAGGCCCTTGTCAAGTATGAGACTTCAGAGATTGTGTTTCAACATAAAGATTTCAATGTCCATTCAAGAGGGACCTATAATAGGATAATTTGCTTTTGACTAAACTCCTACAGAATCAGCTGTGGCTAAACACTAGTGATGATAACTCATCTGTTTTACATAAAACGGAACAACTGTATGATAGTGAGAGATAAGACAAGACAAGAACAGATGAAGAAATGCAAGCTGTACAGATGATGGTGATGCTGAAACTTTACCATCCTCGCCAGTCAAGGGAATAAGTCGGGGTAAATTCTTCACAACTATGACCCATGGAACTGTGATCCACAAGGCCAGGATAACCAAAACACATTTCTGAAGCCATGTATAATTTGCAAATTACTAAGTTGCCCGACGCCTTATGGTTTTATTTTTTTGAATTTCTGAAAACAAAGTTTTCCAACACAAGACTACAAACAAGGACCAAATACAAGTAAAGTATTTGTTTCAGTTTTGAGATATACTTGTGTTTTGAAAATTGTGATAGTATAACAGATTTATACTAGCTCTAATTCAAAACCAAACACCTTAGCAAATCACAAGAATCAGTGTCTCCCATGTAGTCTTCCTTGGAGGAAGGACCTACACTTGGAGTTGTCATCTATGCTTATATATATCACAGCTCTGAGCATACTTGATGCTAAATCTTAGACATAGAATCAAGTATGTTTGTTTCATGATAAAGGATCTCATGTCCAGTGTAGTGTTATAAACCAATGCTATTTAATGGTCAAGAGTCCAGCACCAATAGGTGTTGTACAGGATGTCCTGTGAAGGTGGCTTCACATGGGCAACCCAAGTGTGCAAACACAGGCTGGCTAACTCCAGAATGTCTGCCAGCTTGTGTTTTCACACACAAACATATCCAATTTTGTAGCAGATGTCCGTAAAATTCATGTGATGTCTACCATCTGATTGGTTGAGAGCAAGTCTAGTAGTCTGATAACCATCTTGGTAAAATCAAGATACATAACACTAAAATGATGGTTAAAATATCGGTAACTGATACTATTTCTGTCAAACGTCACAAATTGTCCTTGCAGTGTTCACATACAGACACACTAACACACACAAACTTATGTTTGTTAACATAAACTAGCAAACATGAGTTTGTTATGTAAAGCCACCTTGATACCTGTATGATACTGCGCTACAGTCAAACCTCCTTATCTTGAACCAGACGGCACCAATGACTCATTCTCGAAATATTTGGTCGATTGCGTATCACAGTGACTGACCACTTATATATTGACCAAATATTCTACCGAAATGCAATTTTTAATTCAAAGTTGAACAGCTAATTTTGTCGTGACGGGCGATGGCGAGTAATGCAATAATCTAGATTCATATCTATTCATTCATTACCAGTAATCGTTCCAGATAAATCAGGTTTGACTGTCTGAACTTCACAAAAAAACCCTGTATATTTCATTTGACACAATAAAAAATATGCACAGGATGTCACCTTGAAGGTAACTCATGATCTATTCAAGATCGACCAATGTTACGGACAACATACAGATACCTACTCCCTGACATGCTCAGTAGTGGGACTGAGTGTGTAACCCCTAGCGAAGACCCTTGACTGGTGAGGATGATCTCAAGTACAGAATGTCCCTATGGGACTAGCACTAAGGCAGCACATATGAAATATATACATCAATGCTGAATACCTCTGTGAGTATACACATGGCAGCAACTTGTGCAATAGATAGGTTACAGATAGATACACTGTGCATACAATGCACTTAGACATTCACAATGAGAACACTCACCTAACTTTGTACATAAAACAACGTTCAAAACTATGGTATGGTGGTACTTGTTTCCTAAAATATTTTAATCTGGAGACCCTCAATCTTATCGTTTACCACAATGACAAAAGTACCCCCTGATCTTCACACCGGAACATTTTAAATTACAAAATTACCATTTTAACCAAAAACGATTCAAATTTATAGGGGAAATATATTGGATCTTGCTTGAAGCAATTTGCCAAAGATTAAAGCATTTTCTGGACAAGTTTGAATTTCCTATCATTAGTTCTCATATGTAATTTATTATGCAGGTGAGAGTTGAGAAGAGTGAGAAATCTTCTCACTTCATTAAGACAAAAGATTAGAGAAAGATATTGTAAATGTGTAGCTTAAAACAAATTCTGGAAGCACACTGGCCAAATTCTGTGAAATCTACAAGCGATGACGAACGATGATGATCAAAGATGAAATGTTATCTAAGAATATGGGTAAAATAATATACAAAGCCTGTGTTATTTGAACTAGCTTCTATGTCATAAATAAATCATTTCAACAACAAATCCCCAGTTGACATTTTTCTTCTAATCTACTGAGCAACACGAATTGATTCCTTCTCTCAGGTCAGTCTGTTCATCATAATACTCTTAGCTTTCCTTGAAGCCCCTTCTCCAGATGCGTGAGCATGTAAGTCCTAAGTAAATTGGAATGAATGTAAGGTTGATTGGGCTTAACCTTCGTGGAACTTGATACAATGAGCAACTGTATGCCTTATGAACCTGACAACTAAGGGTAAATGAATACATATTTGATGTTGTCTACCCAGGAATGGAAATTAACGATACCCTGAGAAAGTTGTCAATTTCAGTCTGAGCCAAAATCTTTCGAGTCAAATAGCTTGAACCTGTCTCTTAACATCAGTTCAGTAAATCTTAGTATTAATGTACTGACAAGCTTACTTGACTGAAAGAAATTTACTAGACTTGGGCTTCTAAATCAAACTTTCCCAATGCTTGGTAGAATATTAAAAATTTGGGTCATTCTCTATGCATTAACGCTCTCCAAGGTTGTAAACTTAAGGTTAATTTCTATCCCTGTAAAATTGTGATACTGACATGTATTATGTATACCAGTTTGATATTCGTCAAGATTCTCTCCAGGCGTTGCAGATATACACTGTTCCATAGGCACTCATATCAGTGATATTTGGATATATTTAGTCATATCTAATCAGAGAACTAAATCCGCTACTTCAAAGATGTTAAAGAACACATGATTCTCACAGTTAATCTTTCATTTGAGTAGTACATTGGCAGATATTGACTACAGAAAGAAAAAAGATATACCAACATTGGCACTTTCCTCTCATAAGCAATAATAGAAAAGTTTAAAAATTATGAAATAGAATATTATAAGCCTAGGAGCTTAAGCAAATGGTGAAATAAATAAATATCACAACATTAACAAAATGCTTAATGATAGCAAATTAAAAGCCTTAGTGAAGATGAAATAAAATCATAGCTAAAATAGTAAAAAGTATTTCTAATGCCATTTAGAAAATAAATGAATGTGAGTGAATGAATGAAAACAAACAGATCACAGGTACTATAGATACACAACTAGTGTACAGTGTGTCAGACAGAAGAGACACAGCATGACAGCATGTCTACAAACATTGGTAATATCATGAATACTGATGTTCTGTGATGTATCGTCATGGCAACTTGGGTCATGGGACATCACAACACTACTACAGCACGAGGTCTAGCTAGCACTTTAGTACACGGTGGTCTCGATTCTTCTCCGTGCTTGAGTTCGAACTTTCAGGCTGCCATTTGTGATGGGTGAGGCTGGTCGCCTGAAAACAGAAGGGGTTAAATGAATGACAGGATCGATAATGTGAGGGATAGTATTTCATCGCTGCTCCAAAATTAACAAACTAGAACAAAACCATCATGGTTGGTTTGTTGGTTGTTGTTTAATATGCTGCACTCAGCAGCTATATGGTGGCGGTCTGTAAATAATCGAGTCTGGACCAGACAATCCAGTGATCAACATTATGAGTATCAACTATGCAACTGGGATACGATGACATGTGTCAACCAAGTCAGCGAGCCTGACCACCCGATCGCGAAAACCATCATGGGAAGACACTGATTTATTTCTAGTTTATTTCAGGCTAGTTATGCAAACAAACTAATTAGATTTGTGGATCGAACAACTACTAGGCCAGACTGCTACTAGTCTGGAATAAACAGACGAGCGGCCATGTCTAGCCCAAAGCACAAATTTGTTTCACCTACATTCTGTAAGTCTGTATCCGTCAATCAGTAAATACCAGCTGTTGATCAAATATGTGGATCCTCTCATATAAACTCTAGTTTCATGTTCCAGGGTCCTTTGTCCAAAACAAACAGTTATCAATTACTGCCTTTAGGAGGAGTGAGTGAGTGTAGTTTTACACCACTTTCAGCAATATTCCAGCAATATCACGGCGGGGGACACCAGAAATGGGCTTCACACATTGTACCCATGTGAGGAATCAAACCCAAGTCTTCAGCGGAACGAGCAAACACTTTAACCACTAGGCTACCCCACCGCCTCCAGGAGACTGTGTAGCTATGGTAACTGGTTTGGAACAATGGTAACCCAACTAGGAGGGCTCTCACAAAGGTTCCAATATGGTCTGTCTGTACATCTGGTAAATATAATAAACCTCTTGTTGTTTAGAGCTCTATAGTGGAGGGTTACCTGGTCTTTGCTCGGTCTCGGAGTGTGGTGGGCGTGAGCGCAGCTAGAGCCTGCATGTTGGCTGTCAGTGCTTCCACCTCCCGTCTCAGGCGAGTCGGAGTCTCCACCATCTGTCTGCAATACAACATACATCACACTGATTCACTGACTTATAAATCTCACAAAAACTTACTTCAGTATCCTCACGTTTCCCCTTGCAATTTGAACCTTCTGGTATATTTCCAACACATGGTTGTATTTGACTGTCTGTGTAACCACAAGCCAGAAGACACTGATCTGTTTCTTCTGTTTTTATTGGTATCATATGGACTTTAGTTAGTTGTTCTTACTAGACCAAATGGAAAGTTACTTGACTCAGGCTTCAGCCCAGCGGTTAAACTCAAAGACTGCACCTAATACAAAAACTCTGAACAAGGTTGAGCTAGTATCAATATTCTACTACATACTCAGAATTTCTTAGGCACTATTGAGATTACTGAGAAGAGTTGTCTAGAACACCTGGTCCAATTCCATGAAGACTTCTCAGAGTTGCCAATGTGTCAACATGTATGAAGGTTTTCGTCTTTTGTTACCATCTCTTCGTGTAATTCGACCCTGGACCAGAGATGAAAATAATAGTCGTCTCAATTCTGTACTTCAATAATCTAATTACAACTCTATACAGTGCTTGAAGGTGTGTGTTTGTTGTGTAATGGCAAGTTAAGAAATATTACAGTCACAATGAGAGCTGAATATAAATAGTCTCGGCCGAGCAATTCAGTGATTGATGTCATGAACAACTGCCCACAAACCTGGAGTATAATCACTACACTTCTGTCATCAAGTCATCAAGTGTCCCAAATTCCTACCCAGAACCCCACAATCCAGTCTAAGCACTAGGGCTGCAGTGATTCGATTCGATTCATCAAAAATTGAATCTGACACCTTAGTTTTGATTTTCGATAACCATTATCACTATTTCGATTCGATAATTGAGTATCTATTTCAACTGTTTCCACACAGCGAGAACGTAATTTTTAATCCAAATCGAACAGTTTCAAGCGCTGATATGAGGCAAAATGTGATTGGTTGACGCTGGGCTACTTATCCAATGTGCATTGTCATTAGTAGACATCGCCAAGTTGACAATGAATTTCACGCAAAAAAGCTGACTCACTTTAACTCTGAGAGTTAAATGAAATCTGATGTTTTTACTTGTATGAAGACTCAAATCGAAAATGATCGAATCGAGGGTCCAATATAAAAAACTGAATCGAATCGAGGTGTGGGTGAATTGTTGCAGCCCTACGAATCACATGTACTTCCTGGGATAAATGAAACATAACCTACCCTTTGCCCATACGGGGTCCATTTCTGGGTGCCTTCACAAGCTCCTTAGGGGTCTCTATGTAGAAGGGGGAGTAGATCTTGGTGCTTCGCTACGGAGGGGTCTTCCCGATGGTCCTCTTCCCCACGCGTGTGGGTGTCCGGGGGGACACACCTTTCTTCTCCTTCAGTCTCATCTTCCTGCGGGTTGACATGCGGAATTTCTGTAACAGATAAAACGGAGCATTATAGTGGGCACCTTTAGAATAAATAATGTGCAGTCTCTTAAAATACAAAGACAAGCAATACATTCAAACTAAATGGAGCAACAGGGAAACAGGAATTAGAATCTGAACGATTGGGTGGTGGTAAGGCAGCCTGGTGGTTAAAGTGTTGACTCATCACTCCGAAGACCCGGGTTCAATTTCCCACATGGGTACAATGTGTGAGGAACATTTCTGGTGTCACCCGCCATGATATTGCTGGAATATTGCTAAAAGTGGTGTAAAACTAAACTCACTCACTCACTGAACCCGTGGAAAATCTAGACATGATTCATATTGAGCAGGGTCCAGATCCAAAAAGCGTTCATAACGTTACAACCTGTCGTAACTCTTATTTATCATAGGCTTACGAATGTCATAGTGCTAAGAAGGCTTTGTAGATTGGGGCCCAGGACCATTTGGGCTGGAAGAAATGTTGGAAAAACTCTTGAATTGGAACTATATTTTCTCCTTATTCATTATTGTCAGATCACAGGTTTTGGACATCATACATTTTTGGACAGAAGTGCTTTCTCAGGCTATGATGCGGGGTGTTGCCTTGGATGAACACTGTTCATTTTTTAATGATCTTTTATAAGCTAAGCCAGATGTGTTATAGGTGTTCATGTGATGGAAACTTAACTAGGAATGTTTTTTAAGTGTCTGAAAACCCAAAATACAAGGATAATTTCACCTTTTAATGAGCATGTTTAAGTTTCGAAAAAAGTCCCTGGTATTTCACAGCTGATAATGCTCATACTTAGTTTGATACTACTATAATCATGATAATTCATGGGAATTTATGAAAATAATGACAAAAAAAGATTTGACCAATTTGCCTTAAAGGAGGATTCTGGTGATACTCAGTTGAAAATCCTGAATAAATCCCTCCCATGTTGACTGTGAGTTCAGGGAAATGATTGACAGTGATGCATCAAGTGGTCTTTGATTACTGTCAGAGTAACCCGCTTCACATATCAGGTTACACCCTTGAGGATTTATCGAAACCATCTGCAAGGCCAATAATAGTCCCAAAGCCTGCCACAAGTGTCAGTAAAACTTCACAAATTACAAAGAAGAATTTACTGATACATTTTTATGTTAGTTATAAATGTTATAGCTTTTAAGGGGGACTTAAAGAGGTGACTTGTATTTCACCGAATACGACTAGTGCAGACATGTAGTTTTACATTACTGTATTACATGAAACTGTAAAATACCTTTGAATTTAAGTTTCATAAAATCCTAATACTGAACAAAACATCTTCACACAAACTTTTGATAGGTATAATAAGATATGTTCAATATACTGAAATATTTACTTACAGTAATATGAGAATCAGTTTTATGTACTATCAAAGATGAACAAATAAATAAGAAAATTGGAGTTATTTTCAAATCCGACTTATATAAATACAAGAAACTGGTCTGTGCACTACAGACAAATATGAAAGTATCCTTATTAAAATTTGAGTATTATATTTCGGTTTGTCTGACAAGGATGCTCAGTTTGAAATCCCTGATAAACCCCTGCCCTTTCTTCACACCCCAGCCACATGGCCAGTGTGTCCCGCATTTAACACCCTATGATGCAACCCATCTCAAGCACTCATTACAACTCAAACAGCTCCCAGGGGGGTGCTGGAGAGGGGGAGGGGAGAGATAGCCCCAGGGCGCCAAGACAAGGACTTTGATAAAAGGGCCAGTATGGCCTTCTTGGACAAAGGATGACCTATCCTAGGGCTGTGTGGACAGTCTAATCTCCAGCCACACAGTGGGGTCCAGAACCAATCTGGGTTGACCGGTCCACAGACAGACCGGTCCAGGCTGACCATGTGTTGCAGTGAATAATGTGTATCTATTTAGCATGATGGATGGACGAATAGCCAATTTAGGGATTACTTCTGTGTTTACATTGGATGTAAGGGGGAATGTTAGTAATTAAAGTCAAGCATGAACAATGGTAGAACTGAGACCAACTTCAAAGGCTGACCCAATATGTTAATAATGTAAGTAGACATTGATAAGTGTGTCTGTTTAAGTGGAGCCAATTTGTTGCCAGACTTTTATTGTACAAAGAGTATTTAATTTTACACTCAAGCCATGTGCAAATATTGCTGGCTACATATTGTGCAACTAGATTGTCTAAGATGTAATTACATAACTCTGTGTCATAAATCTGTCAATCATTGTGAAATAGATCATGTTTAAGTACCAGGGCCTAGATTTTCAAAGCTCTCTTAGTGCTAAGATAGTAGTAAGTGCCATACATTACAATACTTACGACTATCTTAGCGCTAAGAGAGCTTCGAAAATCTAGGCCCTGGTATTGAAACTGGTTACTTCATGAAGAAAGTTGTGTGATCACTGTTTAAGAAGCCTGTCTTGTAGCGTGTTGTTAACATTAATATTCTCAGTTTTTGTTGACATTGTACATGTCAATAAATATCACTCTTTGTTTAACATCATACTCAGAAATACTATGATAGTGGTTTGAAAATAATTGAGTCTGAACTAAACAATCAAGTGATTGATATCATGAACATTCATCCATGAAGTTGGTTTACTGTGGCTGACATTAATAAGTCAGCAGGGCTCGAAAATTCCACTCGTCCTCCCGTATTGACGAGTAAAATTTGTTTCGAGCAAGTGAAAAACATAATTTGTTCATCCTCTAAACATGTGAAAAACATAATTTGCTTGTCCTCTAAGCAAGTGAAAAACATAATTTGCTCCTCCTAGAGGACGAGTACGTTTTCTGACCCAAAAGTAACATTTTTCTTTTCCTTGAAGTTCAGCTATCTTAAATGGTGAACAAATTCAACTTTGTCAAAGATTTTGTACATAAGACAAAGTATTTTAGTCCAAGCAAACATTTTGAAATAAAATAATTTAAATTTAAATGATGCATGATCTATAGGGAAAGTACAATTTTAGAAGGGTGAGTGGAAAGTTCATATTACTTGCCCTGCAGGGCGAGTGCAGATTTTTGCATTTTTTTAGCCCTGGTCAGTGAGACTGACCACTGGTAGTCATGGGTTCGTGAAGACCAATTCTTACAGGGACCTTCACAGTGGACATTTCAAGTGGCATTTTCAGTCACTGCACATTACAGGATGAGAACATGAGTTAAGTTTTTAAATACAATTGCACCTATTAATTTAAAAAGCAGACATCTATTAAAATAATTCAGGTTTGAGAGAGAGATAAAAACACAAAGATGGATAAATACAACACTCATTAGAATATAGCTTTTCATTAAAAGCCTTAGTGTAATGGTACTTAACTGACCTTTTTTTTGCAAAGAAAACACCTTTATATATCAAATATCAAAATGAGAATACAGAATGAAATATATCCAAGCCAGGAACATAGCCAACACTTTTATATGTTTACTTTGACAGTATTGTGGTCACTGGCCATTGTCCTGATGAAGTAACACTATCATTGTATCAACATGATCAAAACATGTCCGATAGTTTTGTAGCCAAATATGAATATTCATTGCCCAATATTTGTGATACTACACATTCTAATAGAGGATTCATGACAGCCTAGATTTGCACAAGTCTCCACAGTAATAATTAAAAGTTTAAATGAAAATTTCTGAAACAATATACCCACTGGCATCCATAGACGCAGTCTGTCTGCTAATCTAGACTTGCCTCTTTAAAGGATAGAATTACTATACATCCATGGGCTCAGCATTCAGTACAGCCTTGGAGCAAGGCTAATGGCAGCCCTAATGATTATAATGCTGTTTGTTAGTGCTTACTGCAATTTGTAACGTCAATCACTACCACATACACCAGATGGGACATTAGTCTGTATAAACCACATATAATTCTTGTTATCACTACCACATACACCAGATGGGACATTAGTCTGTATAAACCACATATAATTCTTGTTATCACTACCACATACACCAGATGGGACATTAGTCTGTATAAACCACATATAATTCTTGTTATCACTACCACATACACCAGATGGGACATTAGTCTGTATAAACCACATATAATTCTTGTTATCACTACCACATACACCAGATGGGACATTAGTCTGTATAAACCACATATAATTCTTGTTATCACTACCACATACACCAGATGGGACATTAGTCTGTATAAACCACATATAATTCTTGTTATCACTACCACATACACCAGATGGGACATTAGTCTGTATAAACCACATATAATTCTTGTTATCACTACCACATACACCAGATGGGACATTAGTCTGTATAAACCACATATAATTCTTGTTATCACTACCACATACACCAGATGGGACATTAGTCTGTATAAACCACATATAATTCTTGTTATCACTACCACATACACCAGATGGGACATTAGTCTGTATAAACCACATATAATTCTTGTTATCACTAACACATACACCAGATGGGACATTAGTCTGTATAAACCACATATAATTCTTGTTATCACTACCACATACACCAGATGGGACATTAGTCTGTATAAACCACATATAATTCTTGTTATCACTACCACATACACCAGATGGGACATTAGTCTGTATAAACCACATATAATTCTTGTTATCACTACCACATACACCAGATGGGACATTAGTCTGTATAAACCACATATAATTCTTGTTATCACTACCACATACACCAGATGGAGGACATTAGTCTGTATAAACCACATATAATTCTTGTTATCCAAACAAATCAGCATCCAAACAGTGGCACTTTCATCCCAAGAATGTTTGAAATCACATTTCAAAAGTATGCTTCTCACAGCTGTGACACGAGTATTTTTTCAAGAGAACCTTATAATCACATGGCGATTGTCATTTCACACCTGTTTCCATGTCAATTCTCACCTGGCCATGCTGTTACAAGTCCACCTGACCACGTCGTTATCTCTTTGTTCATAGCTGATCTGTGTGCTTGGGCTTATCCTAATTAGCTAGATTAAGTCAATGTTTACAAATGCATTAAATTTTAGAGGGTGGTTGAAGGGCTCTTTGGCATAAGCCTGTTCTGTACAAAACAATATTGACATGGTGTTTTCAGCAGGGACAGACAGTCTGAGTGAATCTTCATACTCTTTTGTGATGTGATGACTCAATTCTTGTTTGACCATAAAAAACTACACATCATCAACATCATCATTGTCATCGTTATTGTCATCATTTGATCCTAACTAGATCAGTAAAGGTCAGATGAAATGGAATTTAATGTTGCATAGAATATTATTGCACTTGCAATCCAATATCCATTCACATGTGGTTTCTATTTGTACTACATCTAAAAGGGACTAATATCAGTTTTATCAGTCCCTCCTGGATTCCGTCATTCTGCAATTGCAGAATAAATTGCGGAAATGTAACCCAAAATGTTTTGTCTGCGGAAAATGAATTTTCATGCAGAATACCTGCAGAATTTGCCATTTTTCTGCTGCAGAATTTACTTATTTTGAAAGTTGAATCAAGATTGACTATCAACCGAAATGAAAAGTAGGGGTAAATTACAAAAGTATGATTGGTTACACAAAAACGAATGGAGACATTTGTTATAACGATATTTTCAAATATTCACGAATAAAGATGATTTATTCATAAGGTAATATTTTCTTCAGCACCATACAATAATATTATTTGAATTTGACACTGCAATTATGTTCACAAAATTGATCATTTTTTAAGATTGAAATTGCATTATTTTGCGGGGTTTTTTCCCCCATGTTTTTAACTGAAGAATATTTTGCAGAATTTTGAAAAATGGGATGCAGAATTTACTTAAATTTGCCGCGGAGTTCTTAAATTTTTTGTTGTGGAATCCAGGAGGGACTGTTTTATAGTGCTTTCCCACTGGTTACCAAACTATTGTATAACATGGATGCCAGACTGTAAACACCCCGACAAGCCCTTGTTTTATACTCTAATACCAGGTCTGACCATCAGGCATAGAAATAACAGGTACCATGTTTTGGCAGCCTTCTTCATTCCAACAACAAGTGACCTTTCCAGTCAGTGAATACACAATACCATTTTACTTTCAAGTCAGGTACAAATAATACTTGTCCATGAAAAAATCTACTACACTGGATCAACATCAAACATTAATCTAAACTTTTTTAAAAGACATTGATATGATAAACATGAATCAGAGCTACAGATAAGTTTTGGGTCATTGAGTTATGTACTCGCTTGTGTTCATCTCAAATGGGTATCCTATTTTTCCTTTGAGTAAGCAAATAAATTGTACCCACCTCACTCAAACTCAATTGGTATTTTGTCATTTTCCATTAATTGTAAAAATATAATAAAGTTTAAATGTTGATTTATGTGTTTGTTATTTATATTTCATCCGTAATATCAGAAATGATAAGAAAGACTGCAAGTTTCCAAGTTCAGTCCTGAAATAGAACCTCTCAGTATACCTGTTATTTTATCTATCCACAAGATCAAACTTATTGAGTATTTACAAAAATTCAATAGACCTAATAGGAATTGAGTTTTCACATAAATATTTGCGTAATTTACTCAGATACGCAGCTTATCTGTACCTCTGATGAATTCAGTTTTTGTTCTGACTTTCAGCCAGTACCTGCTGATGTATTTGAACAGCAATAATGTATCAAACTACATCCACGATGTTCATTGCAAGGTAAAACAATGTTTTATTCATGAACACCCAGTTACCTCACTTGAGTCTGACCTAGTATGAAAGCAGCTGTTATTTATTCGTAAAACATATCCCCAGGATGGTGACTCATTCGGAATAATGTGAAATTGGGTCACAGGATGCCATTTGCCTGGAGAACAAGTACATTTGGAAATCGCAACACATGTGCAGTCTTCCATGAACAATAACTTCTAGCCCAAATACTGAATTCAAATTTTCAAGTGAACTTGTCTGTGAGCTGACAAAGACTTACAAAAAGTGCAAACCACTGCACATAAATGTATCATAAAAAACAAACACTTTTCTGATTTTCAGACCCAGTATGTTGCAAAATATTTTCCACAAATATTTGTTGCTGTTGATGAAAAGCACCAAAAGTGAGACATGTTTTAATATTCATACCATACATAATAATTGCAATATATGTATCAGCTTTTAAACCAGAAAATATCAAAGTGCTCAGTTTCAATGTCATAGAATTTCCTCAGAATCTGGCAAGAGACAACCTTTTTCAGGGAGGGTCAATCGGGACCCCTGTGGGATAATCAGAATGTCCACCTGACACAGAGGATGAAATACAAGTCATTAAACCAGTTTGAAATGTGCGCCCTGGTGACAATAGCCAATTGGAATGTAGTGTCTGTACATTGTTACAGCTTCATGACCTATGATGAGTTGGGAGGCAAGGCTTGAATGGCCCATCCTGTCTCCCAGTAAACCTCATTATACCGCTCTTGTGACATTTCATTGAGTTATTTCCCCAAATTAAACATCAAAATGTGTTTTGTGCAAGAAATGAAAAAAGACAAAGTTCTAGCCCCAAATTCACGCTCCAATTTGTAAAAGAGTACGTAGCCATTAACACATCTAGTTAGTTTTATAAAGAGGCAGGATGCTGACGGGTCACGTTACCATGATTACAGTCACAGTGAGCCAGGAAGACCAGAGTCTAATGGCTCCTGTCATGCCTGTAAGCATCCCATATTTTCATACTTAATCATTTCAACAGCGGTCTGTAACAGTTTATTTCTGTTTCAAATTCAAATGTGGATACTATTTATCTCAACACACACGACACAAGCAAGTGAAACAACTGAAAATTAAGATGTGAAATCTTTTGCACAAATAAGGAGTGTATATCAGTTAATTTGAGTGGTCTAAAGTGATGCCATTTGTTCACTTGGTTTCTAGTTCCAAACCAGACTGAACTATTGCTTTGAGACACACCCACAATATCAGTATGAACTTAGGATGGTTTGAAGTTGTTTCACCACAAACATAATTTCAATGTTTTGGACCATGTTTGAATTTTTTTACTTAGGAGCAGTTTTTAATGTACTTTTCCCATCACAGTTCTTATCTTCAAAGTAACATGCATTACTTGTGAAATTTGAACTTACACTAGTCAAGGAATAGTTAACATAACATGTCTACAGTAAATATCTCAAACGACTACGCAAGCAGAGGCGAATATACTGAAATACACAGCATATTTTTTTAAACGGCGATCGCAATGTATTTGGGTTGGTTTACACATTTGGTCACACATTTCATAAATCTGTATTCCCCTGTATTCAACAGTAATGAAAAAATATTGAGTCTTACCTGTCTAATGTTTCCAACTGCATCTCTGACCGACTGGGTTACTTTTGACCCCCGTCTAGGGAGTCTCACCTCTCCGCGATCATCACTGTTGGGCGAGTCACCGTCGGAGTTTCGTCGCTTTGCGTATTTTGGAGTACTGAAATAGTCTGTTTGAGTTCCATCAAGAACACTGTACCGTTTTCCACGAATCGACATTCGCAGTGCTTTCTTAATCGTCGCCATTTCACTATGATCGCTGAAAACACGTCGTACAAAAATCCCACTACTTTCAAAACAACCGCCAAGTCAGTCAGGTCACTTGCACATGTATGGCGATAGGATGTTTGTCACGTGATTCTGTTATTGACGGAAGTACAGTATGCCTACGACTCCTTATATATGTCCACGGTCGGCAATGCGGCAGCCGTAGACTTGCTGATTGTCCAATCAAACCGGATGTAATTAGCATAATGACTGTGTATTTAGAACTGTGTACATAACTGTCACGTGTGACGTGCTTACCAATTAATTAACGACCTATGTATATATGGCAATCTGTTTAGCTCATTATACTATCCAATCAGACTTTATGGTAAGGCACGTTCAAAATAATTTGTCGAAAATATTTAATCCGGCCAAAGTAGTAATATGTATTTTTTGAAACACAAATTTCACACACCCGAGAGCGGCTGAAATATAAATTACCACAGAGTAATATGTCTAGGTTAGAAAAATATAATCGAATAGATCTCTTATTAAGACTTGCGGATTGGTAAATGAAAACAGGGTATTTGTAATTAGGTGATCTGTAAAGAAAACACATTCCACATTGTTTTAGAATTTTGCCTAAACATTCTTCATGGTCGCAACGTAGTCTCATTATTTTTCTTCTACTCTAAAATGTTAGCATTAATTCTTATGCAAGATGTTTCGTTAAAAATGTTGTTTGGAAATACAATCACTTCGTTTGAATTGTTAGAGTATGTGTTAATTTAAAATTCGTATTTTGAATGCAGAAACTAAATATTTGCGCGTTGTAGGGATTTCGGTATTACACTTTGAAATCCCGGTGAGTGATATGAAGGTCAGAGGATGACCACTGGAGAGAAAATGGTCTGGTCGACATGGTATGAAGGTCAGAGGATGACCACTGGAGAGAAAATGGTCAGGTCGACATGATATGAAGGTCAGAGGATGACCACTGGAGAGAAAATGGTCTGGTCGACATGGTATGAAGGTCAGAGGATGACCACTGGAGAGAAAATGGTCTGGTCGACATGGTATGAAGGTCAGAGGATGACCACTGGAGAGAAAATGGTCTGTCGACATGATATGAAGGTCAGAGGATGACCACTGGAGAGAAAATGGTCAGGTCGACATGATATGAAGGTCAGAGGATGACCACTGGACTAACTACACATAAAATACAATGACAACTGATAGTATTATCCCTGTTTAAACTGAAACATGCTGGTTCTTGAACAAGTATGTAGTTCAATGAGGGGAACGCATTTGTAATTCTGTAAATTATCAGTGTAGAAGCTCGCTGGATAGAAATTTCTATTCTGATCTGTAATATGACTTTTAGAAATTTGTGTTGGTGTTAGTTAGACTAACGCCTAGGAACGGAAATTATATAATTTAATATAACCACATCATTCCATTAAAATTTAAACTTGGGGTGAGTGAGTTTAGTTTTACGCCGCTTTTAGCAAAATTCCAGCAATATCAGGCGGTATTTATTTTGAGATTTAAAGGAGCTTGAGTGAATTTTGAGATTGACAAAAAAACAGTGGTAGTTATTGACTAGCTTCATTTGAGGATTTTACGCTACAAAAAGGGCTGGGCAGAAGGGCATAATAATGTTGCTGAGACTGCAAGAGAGACTAGTATATATGAGTGTGTATGTAATTGAAAACAGTAGGTGCAGTACATAAAAAAAATAAAAAATTATGTACCTTTTACCTTTTACTTTTTAAATTTTAACGTAAAGAGAGGTATTCGAGCAAGATTTGAACATAAATACCAAAAAGACCACAACCGATGCTCAGGGACGAGAGAACCGTTAAACCATTTCTTAAAGTGTCAATGTTTACCATTAGTATTTTTTATCAGAAAAGAACTTCAGATCCTACATATAGCTTGTTTACCAATCCGGTTCCACTCTTGGAATTAAATATGTTTAAAGCAGATGCACATAAGCTTCAATTTCAATGAAATTTAGTAAGGAACTTTATGACAATCAGGACGTTTATTGTAGGATCAAGGGGAAGAAGAGGCCCCCCCCATGGTTTAACAACCCCCATCCCCCCAACCACACATACACACACAAGGAAAAAAAAAGATGTTTATAATTTTAACCCATCCCGTTTAGATTTCCCTGCCATGTTGAATAAAGATTCTCGAAGTCGATATCGCCGTAATTATTTCCATCTCGATAATTATGCTAATATATTTTTGAAAAATACTACTTGTTGATACGGATCTCGAATACATAACCGTGATCTATAAATAATGACTGATTACACATTAACGAGCTGCTGACGATGTCATATCAAGGTGTGTATATATGTCCGTCTGGTCAACCAGCGTGTGTCAAGTGTATATTTACTGATGCCACCATCATGCTCGCACCGCTGATGACATGGAAGTACTTGAGATAATTGTGATTTGATTGGTAAACCGGCTGTGTTTATTAGCTTGTACTTGCTGTTGCATAATTTAACAAAATGTTAGACACGTGTATATTTTAGTTTTTAGGTAAGAGTCAAACATAATGACGTAGTTTTAATTATCAAGCTATTTAAGATTTTGCACAGGCAATCAAAGTGTACTTCATATGATTTTCCCGCTTTAAAGATTTTAACATCATGAAATTCTCTGGTTATTATTTAATTATTTAAGATATATTTTGGTTACTATCGGTTCAAATTTCAGAATGTTTCATCAGTGTAAGGGGAATGGTTTCAAAATCCTCACTCTCAATATGCATTTCACTTGACGTCTTATGTTCCATATAATATTAGTTGTTAGGAATATAAAATATATGACAGGCTATCACTTTGTCTATATTAGAATGTTTTCACAATTATTAACCCTGAATTTCAATATTGACCTAAATGGAATTATATATTACCCATTTTAGAAGCAAAAATATTGTACGCAAAAATATTCTCGATCTCGCGAGAACTTGCCAACATGACTCTTATGAGTAACATGGCCGACATGGGGAACTTGTGGGAAGGTAAACACAGACGCGAACTTGTCAAAGTGACATACTTATAGGTTTCATGCTAATCGGCGATGGTGCAGATTGATGTGATTGAAATGTTTTAAACAGAGAAACGACTGCCATATGTAACAGTCCCACACTAATTGAGATCAATCCAAAAATATTCTCTTGCTTAGATGTCAAATCCGATCGATTTTGACAATTTCGGTTGCTTTGGTATCTGTGTGAGGTTCGGCCAACATTACGATATACAGCATCGAATCTGATATTTTTGTATAGACATAAGCTAGATTAAAGGGCCAGATATAGATATAAGTCGGTAATTTATGGGAACAAGGGGGTTCTCACTCACGGTTTGAACATGTAGATGTGTACACTTTTTTATTTAGGACCTTAGTCAAAGACCTTAATATCGATACTGACATTATGGCCAGACTGTACTCTTTCACAACCTTAGAACAGTAGGGTAAATGTAGTTACTTTATTTTTGTAGAAGACATCAATGCTTGTAATCTGTTCTTATTGTATCTATTTCAGTGGAAGCAGTATTTTAAGATCTTTTGAAGTTTCGTAGGCCTTTCAGGCTGTCACTGATCAGCGAATAGTATCACTGTGTGTGTGTCAGATTTAATGTTTTCAGTCGTATATTTTCAGGCAGCAGTGATTACTCTCACTCTTTAGTAACTTAGTGATATGTTTTGCAATTGTTTATTCAATAATCAAGCAGACAATGGATGTTCTTAAGCATCTGAAAACCCATAATGTGAGGATGTAGATAATATCTGAATATTCCTCGTTATAGCTGGTGACTTCATAATTATTCCTAACTGAAGCTGGCAGTCCGTCACAGTGTACAGGTGATGGACATGGTATTATCCCAGTTGGTTTAAGTATCAGAGTCTGGGGGTGGAAAACAGACCTTTACCATGTTAACATGTGTAGGGAATCCCCCTTAAGTTGAAGTTAAACGGACACTGTTTATTGATGGATATTCAGTGTCATCACTGGATGAATAATCTATGCAGGGTTTTACATGTTGCGCAAATGTGCATCCAGTACACACAAATGTAAGGAATGGATGCATAAAACAATTTCAGTGCGTCCGGAGGGATGCACAATATTATTCACTGTACTCACAACACATCTATGTCTTGCTAAGTGTTTGGTTGTATCTATCAGAGTAGTTACATGCATCATTTCATCCATCAGTCCACATGATCGATGATTTATTCCAGACTCTTAAAGAAATTATCAAAACATACAGTTCTCTGCACTGTAACTTCACAGGACCCTCGTATTGCCCGCAAGGACCCTCAGGCCAAATAAAAATGTTGTCGTTCCGATTACACTTCTTTAAATTTAGGATAGGTAGGTAGGATTTCTTTTTTTTACCTTAACACTAATAATTAGGGGTCCCTGGGAACCCCCTGTTTGTTGTGAGTCGAGGTAAAACCCAGTATATGATTTGACACTGTTAAACTGATGGTAATGTTTTGCAGATGAGTTTATGTCTCAGATTGGCCAACCTTTAGATGTTCAGAATGGCAATCTTCACAGTCACGTCACAATACCTTAGGATGTACTTTGTAAAACTTTGTTGCAAAACATAATGCCCTGTGATGCCAGACTGTTGCTGGGGTCAAGTGTGTATAAGCTCCTTTCAGTGATCAATCATCTCTATATGCATTATCACTGAATTATTATTCAATAATAAGATTGGTGATGTTGAGAGTTTTCAATAATTGTTTGCTAAATATGACCTGAAATGGCACATTTTATGGCAATATTACCTCTTTATGAAAGCACTTTTACAGGGCTACAGATAAGGGCTGTATCGGCGTATGTGCGGATAAAAATAGGCACGATACGGTAGGAAATAATTTAGAAACGTAGCAGACATGCACCACAGCAATGGTGTACGGTCTTAAAATCATTTACAGATGTATTTATTTAAAACATATCAATATGATTTCAAGCAGTGTCCCATCTTTGAATTTAAGTGATAGCAACACATGGGGGTTTCCCTTGTCATGTTCTGGGAATCCCGGTTGCTAAGGAAACTGAGTACCGCAGCAAATCATCTTGGTTAAATTTGATTGGTCAAAATTACGCATGTGTATGTAAACTAGGGCTGCGCAATATAACCGGTTTACCGGTATTTACCGGTTCAGACATGAAAACGATACGTATTGTGCGATAAGCTGATCGAAAACCGGTATTTTGACTTGTATTCGGAAAACGTCGTAACACTCGGAAATCTTCGGATATTTCCTTGTTTTATTTGTGCCAAATATTATTCACATTTTATTCTATCATGATTAAAATTTGTTATTAACGCTTAATCAAGCATAGTGATTTTGTTGTGTTTTTGCCCTATAAATCAAGCAGTAACTCGATTATATGTAGTTTTTAGTTTAAAAATACTTCATGCAATATATTACAATACATATCGCAATACATGCTTTCGCATCGCAATATATCGCAATATGAATATTCTCTGCAATACCCGGGCCGGTGGGGTAGCCTAATGGTTAAAGCGTTGGCTCGTCACGCCGAAGACCCGGGTTCGAATCCCCACATGGGCACAATGTGTGAAGCCCATTTCTGGTGTCCCCTGCCGTGATATTGCTGGAATATTGCTAAAAGCGGCGTAAAACCAAACTCAGTCAGTCAGTCAGTCTCTGCAATATCCACCCCTAATGTAAACATGGCAGCACAAAAACAAATTAGAAGTTTCTTTCAGAAACAAGACTGTGCCTCGACGACTTGTAAACAGTCAAGTAATCAAATTGTTGTACGAATAATGAATGAACAGCTTATGAGTATCACTTGTTCGTCTTGTCGTATAGTCACACTCCATTAATTCCATTCAGTACTTCAGTAAATGTACTCTTAAGGTTTTCCAGTACTCCTATATTTAAAAAAATATTGAGTATGTACTCCTGATGTTGAATAACTATATGGAGCCTGGGAAAGCACTTTTAATATATATTCATTTTATATTTCAGTTTCATCTTATATTATGGTACTAAAAGGATTAAAAATGGGAACTTAAAAGACATGTAATATTTTTGTTATTAATAATTTTTATTATCTCATGCACAGGAATGCAGTTTATCAAGTAGCTTAATTGATGTTGCACACATCCAAACATCACCGGTCCAAACACCATTAAGAAATCTACTCACACATCACGCCAAACACTCGGGTTTGATTCCCCACATGGGTACCATGTGTGAAGACCATTTCTGGTGTCCCCCATCTTGATCTTCATGCATTGTTTATCTTCTAGCCTGAACTTGAAATTAGGCATTTTATTTAGTAAATGTTACACTTAGGGGGGAGGGGTGGCAAGGGTGGAAATAACTTTAAAATTTTGGGTGTACCCTGGTACAGTGGCACATGTAAAATCACTTGCCCTGATAATTTTTCCTCTATACCGGCCGATTTTCTTGTTGATTTTTTAGATAAACAACATAATTAACATTGGAAAGTCAACTTGACATTAGTACAGCGTGATATACGAATCTGCTTGCCAGACTGGTAAAAACACTGGACTCGGATGTCGGGCAATGGGTTATTTCCACCCCTGGGTGGGGATGTGTGGTCAATAAAATGTATGAATCTTTGCTGGTAATATGAGGAGGGTACTGTAAATAACTACCCTTAAGTATTGTAATGGTGTATTGTAGTGTACATTCAGATAATTAGTTCAGTGCTTGGAATGAATCAGTGGCGAATCGATTAGTCATGACTGATTGGTGAAACGACAGACCCAGATAACTACCCTTGATGAGGTGTAGGCACAAAATGTGATCGATTGCTTGGTCGCTTGGTATATTTCTCGATTATTGTCTCTCCAGATGCAGTATTTTGGGTTTTCTACATCCTGTCTCTACATTTGTGCGTAGCGTAAAACCCTGAAAACAACAATATATTCTCTTATAAATGATGCAATGAAAAGGTTCAGGCAGTTAGTCTCAAGGGATTCTGGCACAGATTGTGTGATATTTGAATGTTAGCATACATAGGGTGACTATATGGGTGCATGAGACATTTTACCCTGTATAAAGAATTATTTTTTGATTTTCAGATTTACGAAAACAGGCCCGGCAACTTGAAAATGAAATTGACCTTAAACTGGTGTCCTTTAGCAAGCTTGGAACCAGTTATTCCTCTCAGAGAGACTATGAAAGGTAGCCGATTTTCCACCTGTAATTGATTTTAGTGACATTTAAATCAGTTCCATTCATGACCAGGATGATATCTTTGATAAGAGTCGGTGGGCTTTCATGAAACATGTAAAATCTGAGACTGAAAAGGGAAACTATTTACTTCTGTAATGTTTATATTTTAAACTTGATGATGTGACATTTTGATATAACATTTGTTTCAAGATCTGTTAATACATTGATGATTTGTTTAACCAGCCCACCAGCGAGTGATGAAAAGAGGTAATGTTGCTATGCTCTATCAGGGGGATGGATCTGGATATTTCTGTGTTGTTAGTAATGTCATTGTGACATGTTTCATGGCATCCTCCGGAGCAAGGGAGGTAACTCTGTATAAGAGTCCAGTTTCAATTCTTTGCTTACAAGACTCGAGTTTATGGTCCGATTATAGCGCCACAAATGGCCATTATGAGTTATGTCCCTTCTGTGTCCGTCCTGTTGAACAGTCAGAATCTGTCTCTACTATCATTTGCATTTACAAATTGACATTTACTTCAAATGTTCAATGTTGGCACCCAGTCAAGAGTGACATTGATGATCAAGATCTATATTGTGAAAGAATAGGTCTTACTTTTTGGAATGCATCAGTATCTTCAAAAACTTGATGAAAAATAGATTTGGAAAATAGCTGTTGACACCAATTTGACAGTAGACTTGCTTGAGAATGGTGTTAGCATCAACACCAAAACGTCGATACATTAATAATAAAGAAGTTGTTTACCCATAGTACCTTCTCCGTTGTTCATCTGCCATGTTTTGATTGATGCACAGACCTATTTGGCCAGCCAAAATATAACTGCAATTCCAACTAGGTCGGCAAGAGTTGAACCTAGACTTTAGTAAAGAGTTACCTCCCTTGTCTCAGGATGCTTTCATCTGTGTTAGGATGAATCATGCTTTGCTTCATGGTGTGGGAGTTTCCATATTTCCGTCTTTGGTACTTCAAATTTTTCCATTGTCAGTACTTCAAGGGTTCACCTGTGAATATACACAGCCACTTTGCTGTGTACTTGCTATTTCTTTTAGTGATTAAATTAAGGGCGATCCATGAATATCCGGGTTAGAATTGGTTTTCTGCTTGTTGTTATAGGTGACTAACAGGATTGGGTGGTCAGACTTCGTTGACACATGTCATCTTATCCCAAATGCGTAGATTGATGCTCATGATGTCGATCACTGGATTGTCTGGTCCAGACATGATTATTTACAGATTGCTGCCATATAGCTGGAATATTGCTGAGTTTTGTGTTAAGTAACAGACAAACCAAACCAATCAAATACATATACATGACAGATGGAGAGTTTGAAATGTTTGGTATTATTAACATTCTTGCCACCATGTATGTTGGAATCATACAAACTCATTACCAGCTCTCTTGAAGTTCTCAGTAGAAACCATTCATGGATGTGACAAGTGACCTGTGTAATCCATTACCTATTTGTTGTTTAATGTGATGTACGTGTGCATGTTGCCATGGTAACAATGTAACTTCAAGGCTGCTCATGCATGTTGCCATGGATACATTTTGTCATCAGTTATGTAAACATGCGTGTTGAAATTGTTTGATAAATGATATTCCTGCAAGTTGCTATGGTACTTGGATACCGATAAATCAAACTGGTTGCTAAGCTGTGCATGTGATGTCTATCCATCAGTTGCTATAATACATGTGACACCTACATGTTGTCTGATATCAGTCCATCAGTTGCTATAATACATGTGACACCTACATGTTGTCTGATATCAGTCCATCAGTTGCTATAATACATGTGACACCTACATGTTGTCTGATATCAGTCCATCAGTTGCTATGATACATGTAACACCTGCATGTTTGTCTGATATCAGTCCATCAGTTGCTATGATACATGTGACACCTGCATGTTTGTCTGATATCAGTCCATCAGTTGCTATGATACATGTGACACCTACATGTTTGTCTGATATCAGTCCATCAGTTGCTATGATACATGTGACACCTGTATGTTTGTCTGATATCAGTCCATCAGTTGCTATGGTACATGTGACACCTGCATGTTTGTCTGATATCAGTCCATCAGTTGCTATGATACATGTGACACCTGCATGTTTGTCTGATATCAGTCCATCAGTTGCTATGATACATGTGACACCTGTATGTTTGTCTGTTATTAGTCCATCAGTTGCTATGATACATGTGACACCTGCATGTTTGTCTGATATCAGTCCATCAGTTGCTATGATACATGTGACACCTGTATGTTTGTCTGATATCAGTCCATCAGTTGCTATGATACATGTGACACCTGCATGTTTGTCTGATATCAGTCCATCAGTTGCTATGATACATGTGACACCTGTATGTTTGTCTGATATCAGTCCATCAGTTGCTATGATACATGTGACACCTGCATGTTTGTCTGATATCAGTCCATCAGTTGCTATGATACATGTGACACCTGCATGTTGGTTGCTAAGCGATGTGTGTGATATCCACGTGTCAGTTGCTATGGTTTCAGTGACACGGCACCCCTGTTAAACAAGACAAGCAGTGAGCACATGTTCGACACAATGGCTATGGAGATTAAGCAACTATTGGCAAAGGTAAGTTATAATATAACTGGTCATCTGTGACTTTAGCCTTTGGCCTGAAGCCAAAATCTCACCAGTACACTAAAATGATTGGCAAAACTGACATTGAGACTTCGCTATTTGTTTTTCAAATTGTGTTACTCTTTGCAGATCCTGTAATGTGCCCCTTGTTATAAGCTCTTCCTCAAGACATGCAAGCTTGTGTAGTAACCAAGAGGTTAAAGTGTTCACTCTTCTTGCAAAAAACTGAGTTCGAATCCCTACTCTGTGAAGCCATTTCTCGTATATGTCACTGTAATATTCCTGGAATATTGCTAAGGTTGGCATAAAACCATTCCTACTCACTTGGTCAGTCCTCAAAAAGGCATCGTAACTGTTCATGGATACATTTTAAAACTTAAAAATCTTTCAAGGTACTTCTCACAGTAACAATAAAGTTCTTTTGTGTGTGGTTTCATGTCTTCCTGGGGCGTGAGGTAGCCTAGTGGTTAAAGCGTTCACTCATCTCGCCGAAGACCCAGGTTTGATTCTCAAATGTGTGATGCCCATTTCTGGTGTCCTCTGCCGTGATATTGCTGGAATATTGCTAAAAGCGGCGTAAAACCATACTCACTGACTCATGTCTTCCTGGTTTCCAACTTCTGAATCCAAGACCCGGTCGTTTCTGCTGCAGTTGTCGGGGGTGAATGAACGGATGGTGGAGTACACACAGAACATCAGCATGAGTTCGCCCAGCGCCGCCCTCCTGCACACACTGCAGCGACATCGCGACATCCTCCAGGACTACACACACGAGTTCCAGAAGACGGAGGCCAACATCACATCACTGCGGGAGAGGGAGGATCTGCTGGGCTCCGTACACAGAGACATCAAGTGAGGACACACTCTTGGGGTGGTGTGGGGTGTCTGTGAGTGAGCAGTGTCAACAGTAAGAATAGGGTTGGTGTTATTGGTCAAGGTTGGGATGGGACTGTGAGTCTATTGGCATTATGGGATTGATGTAGCGTTTCCAGAGATGGTGTATTGGTTTAAGGAAGGTGAAGGTTGTCTATGAGTGAGCAGTGTCAACAGTAAGAATAGGGTTGGTGTTATTGGTCAAGGTTGGGATGGGACTGTGAGTCTATTGGCATTATGGGATTGATGTAGTGAGCGTTTCCAGAGATGGTGTATTGGCTGAAGGAAGATGAAGGTTGTCTGTGAGTGAGCAGTGTCAACAGTAAGAATAGGGTTGGTGTTATTGGTCAAGGTTGGGATGGGACTGTGAGTCTATTGGCATTATGGGATTGATGTAGCTATTGGCATTTCCAGAGATGGTGTATTGGCTTAAGGAAGATGAAGGTTGTCTGTGAGTGAGCAGTGTCAACAGTAAGAATAGGGTTGGTGTTATTGGTCAAGGTTGGGATGGGACTGTGAGTCTATTGGCATTATGGGATTGATGTAGCGTTTCCAGAGATGGTGTATTGGCTGAAGGAAGATGAAGGTTGTCTGTGAGTGAGCAGTGTCAACAGTAAGAATAGGGTTGGTGTTATTGGTCAAGGTTGGGATGGGTCTGTGAGTCTATTGGCATTATGGGATTGATGTAGCGTTTCCAGAGATGGTGTATTGGCTGAAGGAAGATGAAGGTTGTCTGTGAGTGAGCAGTGTCAACAGTAAGAATAGGGTTGGTGTTATTGGTCAAGGTTGGGATGGGTCTGTGAGTCTATTGGCATTATGGGATTGATGTAGCGTTTCCAGAGATGGTGTATTGGTTTAAGGAAGGTGAAGGTTGTCTGTGAGTGATCAGTCAATTTTGAGAATGGGGTTGGTGTCGTTGGTTAAGGAAGGCCAGGTTAATTTGAAGCATTGTCAAGTATTGTATGGAATGCTATTGTAACATGTAGTTTAAGACCTGCTATGAATGGTTCAAAATGTGTGAATAAGGGGGGTGAATAATGTAGGGCAAAGAATATGAATGTTTGAGGATTGTAAAAAGAATTTCACCTCGTGTTCAGATAGATCGTACCCAAGTCAGTGATACCAAAAAAAATATATATATTTTAGGTTTCGCAGATTCTTGGATTTGCAACTCCACTTTACTAATATTTTATTCTTCCTTTTTCAGTGCATATAAAAATTCCTCTGGTTTGAATAGAAGAACAGATCTATATTTAAAGGAAAATGATCACATAAGAAAGTAAGTACAGATAATTGTTACACTGAAATGGTTCCTTTCCCTTCTAAAACAGGATCCATTGCCTACATGCAGAAAGGGATCTAAGCACTTTGGTGACTGCAACTCCCATAATCTAGCATAGACTTTAGATAGTCGTACTGCCAAGATCACTCTTTGAAAGCAGCTCCTGATCCGTTAGAATTCAAGATAACTTAACACAGCCAATTACTAGCTGGTGTGGTATAGTTGGAGTAGCTGATTGTGAAGTTCACCAAACTAGCCATACTGTCCTTACAAAGATTGCATCCTGTAAAAATTTCATCTCGTTTTTATGAAGAACCTCATAAGAAACAGTCCTTTGAAGCTATTATTGATGCTGATAGCAACTGCTTGCATAAGTAATAAGTATCTTGTTCATTTTCACAGCTCAGAGAGATTAGTAGACGACCAGATTAGGTGAGTTTGAAATATATCAGTGTCCATTAATGTGTGAGTTTGTTTTTAAACTTTTGGCTTCAAACAATCAATATTGTGTGTATTTAAGGTTTGAATAGACCCCCCAACAACATATATTGGTTATATCAATCAACATTGTAGATATTCTGGTTTTGAACACATTCCCAGTAACATATGCCAGAGATGCCAACCTCTACGATTCTATCGTAGTCACTATGAATTTTGGCCTCAAACTACGCCAATATGATTGCACTAGAAATTCTGCATATATGTTTGTCGATTAAATACGTTTTTGTCAAAAACATACGACAAGAAAATATAATGCTTATAATTTGGAAATCTGCTTTTGGAGGTATGTGAAATCTGCTGTTGGAGGTATGTGAAATTAAAGCTTCATTCTTGATTAGTGTCATATTATCTTTCTCAGAATCCATCATGGTTTTGAGTATTTAGTTGACTACTAATTTTATGGCCAAACTACCAATTTTGATCCTTGAAACTACTATTTGCAACACTTTTGGGTTGGCATCTCTGACATAGCTGATAGTAAGAGGTGAAGGGGTGGATGGGAAGGAAGAGGTGTTGTGGGCTAAGGGGAGGTAACTGCTGTTTGCTGTAGATCCAGGGGAGGTAACTGTTTGATCCATATTACAGTGTTTGAGTTATTGTGATGCAGATCAGGGAAATCAACCCAACACAGATGTAGGGTTGAGAAGATCTGATTGTTTCTTATTCTATCATTTTTTCCTCATTCCAGCATTGCCATCGCAACAAAGGAAAATCTTTCATCGCAGAAGAAGATCTTGGGCACAATTACACAGAAAATGAACTCATTAGCGAGTATCCTTTGCAACCCTTGGGTCAGCCTGTATTAGGTTTCGTGCAACACTTTGTTGGTATAAAGCAGTCTTCACATGGAGCACAGGTGGATCAGATGTAACACGTGTTATATTTGGGATTACACTTTCTCAGCAAAGAACAAATTCTAGTGCTTTTGTTGGGTTGAGTCCCATCCGGGATGTGAACCCACACTTTCAGAGTCAGGCACCTAATCCCCACAGTCCAACCCATATAACCGTTTCAGCCATTGCAGACTCTACACAGAAATGGAAGTAGGATAACTGGTAGTCATGGTAATCCTGGATGGGATTCAACCCAACAAAAGTACTAGAATATAAAGTGTAATCCCAAATATAAAGTGTTACATGTGACCATATTCTAAATGGCACCGTGTTTTCATTACCATACAGAGTTCCTTCTTTGGCAAGGGTCTGCTAAACATGGGTTCAGATCCCCAAATCGGCTTCTTCATGATCCTTGTCATACATACCTTTACTGAGGGAGTTCATGAAAATTTTAAATGCTTTTAATAATGATATAATGCACTTGGGTAAGAGAGTTGAGTGAGTGAGTTTAGTTTTATGCTGCTCTCAGCAATATTCCAGCTATATCGCAGTGGGTAAGAGAATTTGAATGGAGTGAATTTATTAGTACAATCCTTTGCAAATGACCAGTTTCAAATGATGTCTGAAGAATAGATATAAAGGTCGAGAGATGTTAACCATCACCATAATGTTGAAAGTTTTAGAGGGCTTTAAATATTATCAGACAAACCTCCTGGATTCCAGGGTCTCCTTAATTTGGATGACATGTCAGATTCTGTATACATTTTAAAGACTTAGAGTGTGAACAGTTTCTCTTTGTTTGTCCTTGACCTTCACTAGATCGCTTCCCATTGCTCAACAGCCTCATGCAGCGGATTAATCTGCGGAAACGACGTGATTCCATCATCCTCGGTGGCGTCATTGCTGTCTGCATCTTTCTGCTACTACTCTACGCCTTCCACTAGCGTCCTGCTCACTTCACAGCACACGCAGATACTGTTCGACTTACGACAAGGTTGCAGGGACAATGGCTGACACACGCGATGGAGTTCAATACGTCTTTGACTCGTCGTTGACCCTGACTGAGGACAGGAGTTGTCAGTCAGTGTTGTGTCGGTCAAGATTATGTCAACCAGCCTGTATCACTGAGTGGTCTAACCATGGTTCACAACTGGAGAAAATGTGCGTCGCGTCTGATTTTGTTTTGTCCAGTTCATCACCCGTGATCAAGTACAGTGCATGATGTAATTCTGGACACATGTAGCTTTTCGTGTCTTGTTGCTGGATACGGAAGCTGGATATAGTGTATCGTTCAGCTTGGTTTTGTATCTGTTGATCTGATTTCGAGATAATTGCTGTCACGTCCAATTGTGACATACAGCTATGAAACTGAAGCATTTTGAGATCCAATTGATGTAAATCAGCATCGATAAACGTTTTTTAAATATAGAAGGTTTGTATTGAAAAGATAGTGAGTATGAGGTGAAATCCTTGTACAACTTGTAGCTCATCACTGAAAGAGGTGATGAGGTTAATTGGGTTTATGTCAAGGTTATTGCACTTGTATATTCTTTCAAGCATTAAGTTACATACTGTGGGACATGCAGATGGCCTGTCTGTAGTTGGTTCATGTTTCAGTGAGTCAGGCTATATCATTTCTTCATATCAACCTGTGAGCATACGTAGGTGGTATTTACAAAAGAATTAATTAAAATCCACTGAAACCCAAAATGGGGACAAAGGAAAGCTGTCTTGTTTTGTTCTACTGACAAGCAAATAGTTAAAAAAACTCACTCACTGTCAGTAAATAATTGACCTTTTCATCTAGGGCACTCACTGCAGAGTTACATCCCTTGGATGGGCCAGGACCCTTTGCATTAAAAGTAACTGTAAAGTCATTGACAATTTATTGATGGAGATGAAAATAACCAGATTGTTGAATAAATAAATGTACCAAATGAAATAGAATTTTTACGATTGAGATAGTGAGGTTCCATTTGAATTGTAGAATCATGGAATCATTGTGAGAAAAAGATTACATTTTCCATATTTCCCTGGCCCGTTTCACAAAGCTATCGTAGTGCTAAGGTGACGTAACTCCCATACTTTAACATAGACTTACGACATTCGTAGCTCTACATTCGGCTTTGTGAAACGGGCCCCAGGATAGCAAAGTAGTGATACGTAATAAGGAAGTGTTCTTTTTCTGTCCAGTGCACCTTAAGGTATCCTCTGAGTCCATTGTCTTGCAGATTGATTGATTTCTAGCCAAATGTGTACTAATAACATGAAACATGTAGATATAGAGCTATCAGAAAACAAGGATATGATTAATCATGTTAATGATTTGGACATCATTATGGAAAGGAGGAGGAAAGACGAGGGAGATAAGTGATGTGTAAGGCAAGGGAGGTAACTGATGTGTACGACAAGGGAGATAACTGATGTGTAAGACAGGGGAGATAACTGATGTCCTGTATCTGAGCTATGTTGTGACTGTGACTGTCAGTGGAGGCTGGTGACTATGTTGGACTATGTGATAATTATATGGTGGTATATCCGCCACGGTGAACTGTCCGGTGTCTCCAACCCTCTGTGTATAGGCTATACTGTGTGATACTAGGGACAACCGAAGACATTCTTCCATGGGAGCTGATCAGGACAGTTTCCTGGTGATTGGAATCACAGACATTTGTTGTGGATATTGTGGAGAGCCTGTGATAACTGTATCGCTGTCCTGCTCGCTGGACATGAGTTTGATTTGTCACCACACATAGCTGTGGGCTGTCCCATTTCATCGTGATCCAAATCCGTTACGCGTTGCATGTGCATTGTGCGTTGTGATCTAACGACAAATGCAACATGATTCACTTCCTGTGGGACTTGTCTTCACTTACGAGTATATATACTAGATCATACAAAAACATAATTATAATAAAGCATTGGTAATGACTTTAATATTTGTCACTGGCGATACTGTCCCAAACAAAAAATTCATACCTTTTCGATGATTCCAACCCAATAAGTATGTATAAGTTTTATGATCAATGATTAGTTCAGATATTTGAGGACTTGTCTTCACTAACAAGTACTTATTAGTATATATTATATCATTCAACTACATATTTATAATAAAACACTGGTAATTATTTCTTATCAGTCACTGGTGATTATGACCAAAAATTCATCGTGATGAATCCAACCCAGTAAGTATGAACAAAGTTTCATGATTAAAGCTAAAGTTCACATATTTGAAGGAAAGAGTGTTGCAGTTTTTGTGGGATCACGGTTAATATTGTTATGGCAGGACTGAGTTCAGTATGTTCCTGATTAGGAACAGCCCCATGCTCTGAGTAGCAATAAGTCAGTATACCTGAAGATCCGGGTTAGAATCGATCTTCAGTAACCCATGCTTGTCATAAGAGGTGATTAACGGGATCCGGTGGTCAGGTTCGCTGACTTGGTTGACACATGTCATCGTATCCCAGTTGTGTAGATCGATGCTCATGCTGTTGATCACTGGATTGTCTGGTCCAGACAATTATTTGCAGACTGCCACCATATAACTGGAATAGCTGAGTGCGGCATAAAACTAAATTCACTAACTCAGTAAGTGGATATGGAGGTAGTTTATAGGGGAGCAGCACAGAGACACAGTTACTGCAGGTGCTTGTCAAGTAGAGCATGAGAAGCTGTGACACCAGCTGAAGTATCTATGTTTGTTTCTGAACATTGGGAGCATGTATTTACTGGGAATAATTTGCAATTGTTCCTCTATTGTGACTGTTAATGATTTGCTGCCAACATTTGTTTTGTCTTCTATTTATTCATGAATATATTGTGTAAATTTAACATTATATAATTTTGCATAATTTTGCTTCTTCCAAAGTTACAGAATGGGCAGATCATTTGTCATCCTTCTTTTGTGGCAGGGATGGGTGTCCAGATTTGATATAAAATTGTGTTCCAGAAAGAATTGGGGAAAATTATTTTGCCTCATTAGGCCAGACCAAATGTATTTCTTGTTTTACAGATTTTTGTCCTCAGAAAACCTAAAAATATGGAAACATTGAATATTTTGGTGCAGTCCAGAAGTGAATAATTTCAATGATTATGATGAACTTTGTCAATATAACAGTACTACTTTGTGGTTAGAGTTCAATTTCCTACCTCACTAAAATAATGTATTTACCCGGTACTATACACAGCTGATATTTTCTCATTACCATTTTGTCATGATGATAAACAGTAATCTTTAGAAGTCGTAACTGAAGGATTTCTTGTTTGGGACATGCCCCATAATGATATGTTATTGCCCAGGTGGGATGAAATTCCTTGTATCTGCTCAGTGGGGAATGCGTCTACTGCTTGAAATTAATTGGTTCTTGTAGTAATTAAAGATACTCTTAGGCAAGTATTGACCTTCAGCCATGTTACATCACAAACCAGAGCCTGTTCCACAACATCGTAAGTCTGCATTAAAGTATGGGACTTAGAATCACCTTGGTGCTACGACAGCTTTTTGGAACCGGGGTGCTGTTGTACAGAGTGATCCTAGGGCTAAGAGGTTCGTAACTTCCATACCTTAACATAGACTTGTGACTGTCGGAGCGCTAAGGTTGTTGTGTACAATGGCACCCAGATGGGTTTTGTCATCCAATATCAAGGACTTTCTCAGTGAAGTACAGATTCCAGTATTTTTGTGGGTTGAAGCCATTTTAACGTCGCAAACCAGGGCCATGATCGTAGTGCAACATCAGTCGTAAGTGTTTGTTAAAGTATGGGATTTACGACCACCTTAGCCTACAACATGTTTGTGGAACAGGATCAAAGCTGGGTTTTGTCAGTCAGTGTCAAGGACAATGATCAGCTCCATCATTATGAACCGGTACTGGTTGCTTGTTTCACTTGATTAGTGTCAGTAGAGATGCGATGTTAGATCCTCCTTGAGGAATAATCTCTGATTTCTTGTAGCTCCTATGTTATTGTCTGATCAGTTTCCTAGAATCTTGCGGGGCGGTGGGGTAGCCTAGTGGTTAAAGCGTTGGCTCGTCACGCCGAAGACCCGGGTTCGAATCCCCTCATGGTACATTGTGTGAAGCCCATTTCTGGTGTCCCCCGCCGTGATGTTGCTGGAATATTGCTGAAAGCAGCATAAAACCAAACTCAGTCAGTCAGTCAGTCCTAGAATCTTGCCAAGATACTTGTAATCAATTCTTTCAAAATTGCCATTTTATCATATCCCTTGGTTTATGGAGACATTAAGCAAAATGTAGACAGGCGGTACAGTAGCCTCATCAACTCTTTGCAATTGTCTGAGATATTGCAGTTCACAGTGCAGAGTTGCTTCCCTTAGTCAGGGCAGGATTCAATTATCATGATCCTTGTTTTGTTGGCACTGTAATCCTGCTGGTGAGTTTCAGTAAATATGTAAATATGTGAGACCTGCCACTTTGGTTTAGGTCAGCCATGTTAGTATGACATACATTACTGAAATATTGTTAAGATGGTGTTTTTTCACAAACATTTTTGGGAGTGAATTAGTCCCTTGGACATGTAGGAAGCCTATGAATATGTTTTTAGGTTTGTGAGCACCATGCTCGTGGATTTCCCCGAGGTGGTAAATGCTGAGACCTGCATTTTGTGTGCTGCTCTCGTATCAAGCTGACTCCTGGTTCTGTAACTGATACTGTCCAAAATGGCGTTAAGCGTAACTCACTTACATAAGAAACCAATCATTGACCCATGTTTATGTCAACATATGTCTTCATTTGCTCATGTTAATCCTCGAATCATGGTTTTGTTACATGTGGGAGCATGAATTTAAGTACTGGTAACTTCTTGGTGAAAACTCTGGGCGTTGTACCACCAGGTGATTTTTGTGCTGCAACTGTGATAGAAGCTTCTTTTTTGACAGTGGATGTTTCAATCTGATAAGCGACTGCCTGTAAGATTGTGGCAAGTAGATTTTGTGGGGGGCCCTCAGTTCCATAGATGTGTGGTTTTTCGGGGCTGCTGTAAAATTACGTCTTACAATAAGCTGTAGTTTCTTTAAATGAGGGCCTGAAGAGTTTATTCAGGGCCTGAAGAAATTAACCAGGGCCTGAGTTTATTCAGGGCCTGAAGAAATGATCCAGGGTCTGAAAAGTTTATCCAGGGCCTGTCTTTTCCAAAATTTGCATATCGATTTAACACTCCAGTTGACGTAAACTCTAGTATTTCCTGGTTGACTACAAATAACAATATGCACAGTGTCACAGGCTTACCGTATATTACCGTAGAAAAGCCGAGGTCCTAACTTTATCAAAATGGTGTGTTCTGTAGATAAGCTAACCTCTCAACCCTCGCTCATTTCTTCCTCGTGATCATCGGAAACAGTGTAAACAAATCCATATTGAGTTACAAAAGTTTATGCTTTGATAATTATGACTTCGGTCGAAATTAAGTGTAGTATATGTAGTATGGATACGTATACATATTTTGTTGGTATATACATGTACATAATTTCTCCTTCAGTAGCCCGTCTGTGCTGTCAACTATTTGTAAACAAATGATTCAAGGTTACTGTTCATTTGCAAAAATGACGAGAATATGAACTTAGGAATTAAATTTTTTGTATAGGGGTATGAATCTTATTGTGCCCATATTTTAGGGCTATGTATCATATTGCAGTCTAACCATATCTTTACACCTCTAGTCAACATGGACTTCAGCAGTCATAGTGCAGGGCCGGCCTGGTGGAGGAATCCTTGATGTTACTATAGGTGTTGGGGTCTACACTCTGCCTCCTTGACATCTTTGGACGTGTATTGAAAGATATACCCTCCTCGTATATGAATTAATACAGGCCAATCAGAGTTGTCGTTAAAAGGGAGTTTAAATATTGAGAAACAGTCTTAAAATATTTTGACATGTTTTGTACTTGAATCAATCACTGATTGATATCTTTGGACGTGTATTGAAAGATATACCCTCCTCACATGAATTAATACAGGCCAATCAGAGTTGTCGTTAAAAGGGAGTATAATATTGAGAAACAGACTTAAAATAGTTTGACATGTTTTGTACTTGAATCAATCACTGATTGATATCTTTGGACGTGTATTGAAAGATAAACCCTCCTCATATATGAATTAATACAGGCCAACCAGAGTTGTCATTGAAAGGGAGTTTAAATATTGAGAAACAGACTTAAAATAGTTTGACATGTTTTGTACTTGAATCAATCACTGATTGACATCTTTGGACATGTATTGAAAGATATACCCTCCTCACATGAATTAATACAGGCCAACCAGAGTTGTCATTGAAAGGGAGTTTAAATATTGAGAAACAGACTTAAAATATTTTGACATATGTTTTGTACTAGAATCTATCTTAGATACCAAAGAAGGAAAGTTACTCAACTCTGGATGTGTCAAACTAATATATATTTTCAGTTGGCTAGACGGAGTGTTTAGATTTCATCATGGTTAACAGTACTGTTATCAAATGTTAAAATATTTCAACCCATACGTATTTCCCAATCTGATTAAAATCTGATTAAAATTGTAACAAGATGTAAAATTTGATTTCAATAAGATTTAAATATTCCCATTTTTATGAGGACAGCATTGGTGACAAAATCAATCAGTTTGTTGAAAAAGTCAAGTTCACTGACATATATAGAATGGTTGATAATGAAGGAACACCTGTTTGCTAGGTACTACATTCATCAGGATCTGGTGATATCTGCCAAATAGTTCCGGCAAGACAGGTGCAGCTGGCCTGTCATACAAGTGGCTGCCATCTTAGGTCAGGCCTAACTCTTGGCTGTTAATGGTTAAATACTTTGAAGCTTAACTGTAATTATTGGGTTTTATTTATGAACATTGTGTGGTTGAATCAGTGGGTTGTACAAATGTAAATGTTTGTGAATACAAGATGTACATATGAAGAAATGGAAATAAACTGTTATATCACAAAATACCTGGTTTC